CAGAATATGGGGTATTGTATTGCTGTCCAAGATTGTCACCACCCTTGACCATTTGGACTCCGGGTGTGGCATGAATGAATGTTGGATTTCCAGGCGCACCTGGCCAGGATGCTGGATTAACCGATATGAAACCGATTACGAAGTCAGAATGTTCTTCTGCAATTTTAACTGCTGCAGACGTGTAATCTCCCGTGGCAAGATTTCCAGCTGAGCTCATTTCAGCCAAAAGTAAAAGACCCCGACCTCGAGGCAACCCCTACACCATCCAGAATGATAAATAAATTTGAGAAATGAAAGAATGACTAGATTGCAATTGAAGAAATCATTGGTCTAGAACACTTTAGCAAATAGCAGCTGTTCAAAATACTAGTTCGATGAACACGGTCGGAGAAAGCACAAGTATTTCATCAAAAAAAGAAACATTTTAGTATCTTCTAAAGTTTCTTTGAATAATCCTCTAGAAAACACTCGCAAACACACCATTATGAACCCCGATTAAACTATCATTTGAGTGTTGCTGTATGTATACCTTTAATTTCAATCCATCTACAATTCCAGGACCAGAGATAATGTGAGCATTGATAATATCTGCCCAATCTAATATATGAAAAATACCCCTGCATTAGAAACACAAGATTTCAGGGACCTCCGAGGGTATTGCTGAAAAGTAGAAATAAATGAATGCAAGTAACAGCTAAACTAATTGGGAAAATTGAGAGGCCTACCCTTCATACTGCATTGTTACTGTATTTCCAATGTCTGCAAACTTGCGATCTTCAAAGATTAAGAAGTTGTGTTTCTCAGCAATCTGCATTGGAGTGAGATAATGTAAGCAAATCTGAAGCAGCTTAAACCATTCTGCCAAAAGTTTTAAAACTAAAAAGAGTAGATTTTAAGAACCAGTTAAAAATGAAACTGTTATCAAATGGAGCAGATTTTTCTTAGAATACAAGAGCCATTAAACCTAACCGTAACCCACGTGTAATAGCCCAAGCCACCGCTAGCAGATATGGTCCTCTTTGGGCTTCCCCCTCAAGCTTTTTAAAATGCGTCTGCTAGGAAGAGGTTTCCACACCCTTAATAAAGAATGTTTTGTTCTCCTCTCCAATCGATGTGAGATCTCACACTACACCTCCCCGAAAAAGGGCTCCAACATATGAAGAAAGTAACTGTGAGACATTTTATAATCAAGCTGATATCCTAAAGATGGTATTGAAAATATGGAAGTAATGAACTGCTGGTAATGTCAAAACAGGGTACCAAAGTTACAAGTTCATAAGGTTATGATATTCTTGTTATCAACATCCTTGGCATCTCACCATCAATACTACCGTACACGAACAAGCATTAACAACTAACCTGTGTCCCAAGGTATAGCTAAAATCTATAATAAGTGCAAGGAAAGTGAGAAATAAATGAAGTTCATGGAAGAAATATACCGAGCGAAGTTTGGAACCGAAGTCAGGGGTGAAATCTGGCAGTATATCCACATGAGTTTTCAGTAAGCAAATCTCTGGTCCAACCTGATTGACACAAAGCAAAGGATAAACAAACAAAGATAGTTCGAAATTATCAACTATGATGTTTTGTGGGACGGTCCTAAAAGCTATAAATGCTTCCCAGAGATAAAATTCTACCGAGAGCTTCGTTAGCTAGAGCAGCAGAAGCCAAACGGATTACAAGAACAGGAAACGAAGAACTCTCTGGTTTTTACTTTAAAACCCAATTCATTTTCATTTTCTTAATGATTTCGTTTACTTTTCCTAATCTGGGTATTGACGAAAATCCCAAGAAAATTCAGAAATTCTAGATGTTCTTACTTTCTCGGCGATATCAAGCAGCTCCGAGGCGGTGCCAACATCAGCAGCTACGCACAAGTTGCTTTCCTTCTCGACCATCACCTCGAACAGCCTCTTCCCCATCGGATTCTTCGCCAACTTCGCTCTTTCCGGAAAGGAAATGGCCTTAACTCTAACAGGCTTCTCCACTTTCGGCACCGCAACCTTCCGATTCTCCTCCAAGAATCTCGCGACCACCCCTTCCATTTCTTCTCCAACCTTCCCCTTCTCCTTCAAAATCCTCACCATCTCACTCAACTTAATCATCGAATGCAATTTAATCCCATTCTCCTCCAAATTCTCCCGCCCGCCCTGTTCTCTATCAAGCAACACAACCGCATCACTCACCTTCAACCCCGCCGCCCGTAGCGGTGCTGCAGTTTCCAAAACCGACGCACCGCTCGTCACCAAATCCTCAATAATCAAACATATTTGATCCGCTTCATAATGGCCCTCGATAGCTTTCGCCGTCCCGTAATCCTTAATCTCCTTCCGACGCATAACCATCGGAACATTGTCACTAACGGAGATGCAAGTCGCAATAGGAAGGGCAGTGTAAGGAACACCACAAACGAGGTTGTAGGAGGTAGACGGCGGAAGAGAAGAGATTAGGGTTTTGGAGATTTGGCTGAGAAGTGAAGGATATGAGACAATAACACGAAGATCAATGTAAATAGGAGAGTATATACCGGACTTGAGCTTGAAGTTTCCGAACTTAACAGCAGAGATTTCATGGAGTTGCAGAACCAAAGACTCCATGGCCGGCGAAAAAGTTTCTGATGACATTAGACTGAGCTTCTGAGACCGTAATTCAATGGCAGAAGGGCGAAGCTTCGGCCGGAGACAGAGTTCGTGAATGGCGGACGACAGAGTATAGGCGGAAGGGCGGCTTAAGCTTTCCACTTGATACTGTAAGAAATGGTGAAGAACCTAGAAATACAAATATGTCCTTTTCTGTTATTTATTTATTTGTTATTTTTTATTTCTTTTCCTTTTAATCTTTTTTAGGTTAAAATTATAATTAAAAAACAATTATTTTATGGTATATTCAATTTTCTCTCTCCATTCAACCTTTGTCGCCCATTAATTTAAATAAAAAAAACATAATCTAAAAATATTCTTAGTTAAATTTTAATTAAATGGAGTTTTATCAAAAATTATTTTAATATTTGCTTAAAAATCATCCCTTAAATAATTTAACCAAAACTCACCAATTTTAACCATAAAAAAAATCTATCAAAGGGTGGTGAAAATTTGTTTTTTTTAAGGTAAAAAATGATACTTCTAATCATGAACACACGACTCTCCATAATGGTATATTATTGTCCACTTTGAGCATAAGTACTAATGGCTTTGCTTTGGACTTCACCAAAATGCCTTGAACATAGTATTTTCTTTATTATAAACCCATGATCATTCTCTAAATTAATCGACGTTGGACTTTTTTCATCCAACACCTCCCCTTAATCGATGCTCGACTTTTTTTTCTTTTGGAGTTTTAGTCATTTTTTTACTATGCCTTCGAGGAAGCTTTACTCCTTTTGGAATCCTTTGTTCTACATTTGAGGATTTACCGATCTATTGGCCCGACTAAGTTTAGGGCATGGCTCTAATACCCTATTAGATGAATACGACTTTCCACAATGATATGATATTGTCCACTTTGAACATAAGCTCTCGTAGCTTTAGTTAGTTCATAGTTGTTTTTTAAAATTTTTAAAACATTTTAAAGTATTAATAAAATTGAACATTCAAATAATATTTTTGAAACCGTTAATAAATCATCTCTAAATTTTTTAAAATTAATGAATTTATGAATATTCTTTTTTTTAAAAAAAAATTAAAGGTGATTTTTTATTTTTTTTTAAGTTAAAAAATATTAATAAATACTATTTTCATCTAATATTACATTCTTTATCCCATAAATTATACGTTATTTAAACAATCATGTTGCCTTTTGCTTATAATTATATAACGTTACTTTCAATCCTTCAGATGTATTTCATCACTCACGTTTTCTAAAACATTTCTAACAAGCATAACTCGAGACTCGAATACACGTTGACATTGTTCATGACGTCTAAATTTCTCACGACTAATTTGTTCGTTGAGTTACAATAAATGTCACACAATTGCTATCCGTTACCATGAGATTACGTGCGTTAGCACTATGACCTATAAAAAGTTCGTCACCAGACATGTTGGTGGCTTCCACGAAAAAAGTATTGAATTTGTTCGAAATGGAAAAAGTATTTGAATTAGTGGTAGGTAGGACCTCTAGCTACCTTTTAGAATATTAATATTCTCTTGTCAATAATTTTTTAAATTAATAAAAATATTCAAAAGGTCAGAATTTAGTGTAATTTATTGCTAATTTGAATTTAGAGTATTTTAAAAAAATATCATTTTTTTTTTACTAACAGTTAAATTATTTTGTTTAATAATAGCTTTAGATTTTTTAAAAATTAAAAATATAATTATTAATGGTGAGTATTTTTGTTTCAAAAATAGTTTAATTATTTTTTTTAATAAAATTTGAAAAAGGGAGTTTATTAAAAAATATTAATAATATAGAATTTATAGTTATTTTTGAAACTTGGTACTCACGATTTCATCTATAAGCTAATGGTGAGAATGTTTTTGAAGTTAAGGTTTTAAACTGTGAAGCTCGAAAGTTAAAATTCAAAAAATACAATATCTGTTAGCGGTGAGGTTAGACTGTTGCAAATAGTATCAGAACCAGACATTAGTGTCCTAGCGAGGACATTGGGCCTCGAAAGGAGTGAATAGTGAGATCACACGTTGGTTGAAGAGGAGAACAAAACATTCTTGTGAAAATCTCGAAGAAAAATTCAAAAGAGAAAGCTCAAATATAGTAATATTTGCTAGTAGTAAACTTAAATAATAGCTAAAAATATAAATTTAATTATAAAATTTTTAAAAAAATTGTGTCGTTAAAAAAAAAAAAAGAAAAAAAAAGAAAAAAAAAAAAAGTAAACAACGTGCATTAGATGTCCCTACAGCCCTCTTGACCTGTTCTTCTTCATTATTATAATTTTAAGAAAATCTGTTAATTAACTGATTTAAATTTCAACTAATTATCTGTTAATTACTGGATTTTGAACTAATTATTTTTAATTAATCATCGTCTCTTCTGGACACTTACATCATATCCATGAACTACGTTGACTTGAACGAACATGAATGATTTTTTTTTCTTTTCTATCGAAGATCATCGGGCCCATTTCTTCTTTTTCTCAAAATCAATTGAAGTTTGTTGCTAACCGACCAACAATTTGTGAGCAATGAGATACACATTCTGATATTATCAATTTCTCTCTGATTTCAGTTTTTTCTCTGCATTTGTTCCACCAAATTTCACCGAAGATGGTAAGGTTTTGCGGTTTTCGTTAATTCTTCGACATTTTTCGTTACGAGCGTTGTGTATGCTTCGTTAGCTGCAGATTTTCCGTTAAATGCGTTGAACTATCTCTAGCATCGCGCCTCCCTTCTTTTGTTCCTTGAACGGTAAGCATTATTTGGTGTCTTTCAGCTTGTTTGTTATGCGTATTCGGTTTAATTTTGGCATTGGAGTGTTGGATTCTCGTTTTTGTTAGTACATTTTGATTTTGTTTCATGCAGAGAAAAGGCAGGGCAGAGTTATGTTAATCTACGCTTAATCATTTCATTCGTCATTGTACAAACCTGTAAGAACTCCTTCGATTTCCTTTCCACTGTGTTTATTATGCTCTTTCTCTCAAGTTTTAGATTGTGACCCAGTGGATTAACTAAGAGAACTGCTGCTTCCAGATTCCCCCATTCTTTCATGATCTGTGTGCTCGTTATTTGAGGCTGGAGATGTCAACCCAGCCGAAGAACTCCGATTCAGGTATTTTTTTCATCTCTGCAAATGATTATTCGTGTTCATAGCCCAAGATATCTTCGCGTTGATTAATTTTGTGAATTTAAGGGTTGGGATTCTTGAGATATTAGAATATGAAACTCACTTGACTTCAGCTTGGTGGATTATACTACTGATACCCAATACTGGAAGAAAACTTTGTGGCTTAGTGTACAGATAAAGATTTGAATATCAGTTCTTAGTTGAATAGTTAATCATCCAATAGGAAGTTGAGGGGCCTTACAGTAGCCAGTAAAGTGATGATTAAGTTAACTACTGATTAACTGGAATTCTCTTGTTTGAAAAGGGAAGATGCCTCAATTTGGGCACCATTCTCTAAGGATTTTTGTATCTATCCTCTGGGACTTATTATTTTATATTGATCCCTTTTTTGTATGTTAACTTTGAGGCTACTCTTGTTGGGCTGTCTTTTTGTATGTCCACTCTCTTTTGTCTGGTATTCTTTCATTTTAATCCCAATAAAAGTTTACTTTCTCCTACAAACTACAGGTTTTAGGAAGCTTTAGATACATTTTGAATAATCTAGATCATATTGACATATTCCGTCCCCGACAACATGTGCTTCATAGTCGAGATGAAAAAATATCAGCTGGTATTTGAAGTGTGTTGATAGGTTTCCAAGTTTATGCTCAATGGAATGTTTTAGAGTTTCTAGATACCCCTTAGAAGTTATATGCTAAGTGGGCAAATATTTGGATAACTAGAGATAGAACTGGTTCTCAAATAAAATGGCGAGTATGGGCTAGAGTTAAAAAAAAATGGAGATTGGGTGGAGAGACAGATCTTGTGTGGATGAACTTAAGATTGAGCTGCTTCTTAATTATTTGAAATGTACGGTGTCCTTCCAACCCTTGCAATCTCTCCTATGAGCTAAAAAGTTCATATTTCCAGTTGATACTTCTCAAACCTTCATTTGGGATATTACAAAATCAGTTCATTGATGATGTTTTTTGTCCAAATATTTCCTTTTATGAGAGTAAGTATAATGGTGAGTGTATAATAAACATATTTTATAGCCAACGGGAGCATTTGCCTGTCTATTCCTTCCTATGAGGTTAGGTTCGAATTCCTCCCTTCACATTTGTTGTACCATAAAACATTTTTGTAATAGTAATTAAGTCTTAGATAACTTTGAAAAGCTTTTTGATTTTTATTGAGATGATTGAGACATTATATTGATGTGTCATATGATTTATCTTCCCTTAAGGTTGAACTTTTTTGGGTGTAATAAGTCTCTTATGGACTCCGAAAAACTATTGGGATTTGAATGCGGTGTCCCATTTGATAATTTTATGGAAGGGTCTCTCTTTAGGAAGTAAAATTGTAATAACTCAAGCCCACCGCTAGCAGATATTGTTCTTTTTAAGTCTTCTTTTTTGGGCTTCCTCTCAAGGTTTTAAAACGCGCTTGCTAGAGAGAGGTTTCTACATCCTTATAAGGAATGCTTTGCTTTGTTTCCTTCTCCAACTGATGTGGAATCTCACAAAAATAACTGTGATATTGAAAATAAAGATGGTCTATGGACATGGAAAGACCAAAATTTCAGTAAATTTGAGCTGGTTGACTAAATCTTTGGATGCAAAGTGTGCTCCAACCATCAAAGAAAAGCCTTAGTTACTATAAGCTATTGAGTAATTATAATAGAACTAATTGGTGTACTTGAAAACTGCTGAAACTTTATACGTTCAATGTTGTGTGATTTTTCTGTTTTTGTTGTGGAGGTTGGAAATAAGAGTGTAGACATAATCATCACAAACATGTAGGATTGACATTTACTACTAAATGAGTATCCTCTTCAATATATTGGAACTTGTATTGTAGCATGGTGGGTAGGCACTTATTTTTCATTTGTTCAAATGGACCATTGGGACCTGTTCACTGCTATCTATTCTTTTAGGACATTACTCATATTGCTTAAGAATTGTAAGAATGTATCTATTGTTACCGATGTATAAAGAGCTCAGCTCGTGTTACTATTGAAATTTCCTTGACATGATTGAAATGTGCTAGGCGTTTGTCTCTTCGATCTTCTATTTCCAGATTCAGAAATGCGAGGCTGGGACTGGAGTCGAATGCCCTCTGGTATTATATCTCAATTCTCGGTATCTCTATAACTGCACTTGCACTTATTAAGGAATATTTTTGAAAGCCAAATCCTGGAGGAAGTGTAAATTGTAGGAAATGTAATACCTAGTCAACCTGCTGAGTTGATATACAAGTATTGTATGTTGTGCATTCCAATTTCAGGAGATTAATTAATTACTAAGTTAGGAATCATTTTTAACTTTCTAATAAGTGATATTTTACTGTAGATTGCATAACATCAGAATACATAGTTTAGCTGTCAGATCTTTCACTCCTTTTCAGTTCTTCAATTCTCTATGATCTCTTGTATTCAGATTCAGAAACGCAACGGTGGAACTGGAAAAAGGATCAACAGCTCTCTGGTATTATATCTTCAATTCTCAATATATTTTTAAATGTAATAGCATTTACTATGGAATTGTATTGAAAGTAGATGGAGCTAAATCCCATAATTAGTTTAATTGTGGAAAATGTAAAATCTAGTCATCCTGCTGATTCTTTGGCCAGTAATATGTCTTCCAGTCTAAAAATTAATTTATATCATGAGAGATTAATTAATTAGTGGACTAGGAATCATTTTGAACTTCAATGAAAGGTCTTTTACTGTAGTTTGGGTAACATCAGAATGCTCAGTTTAGCTGTTAGATATTCCACTGTTCAATGCTTCCAATGGATAGCCTTAAGATCAAATCCTCACAAGGTTGAATTTCTTCTTGATTGGCAATCATCTCTGCAATCTCCTCATTAAGTCCAGTCCTTGGTAGAACGGTTCATGGTAGCTTCCTCATCCACATATAAGTTAATCTCCTCAAGCAATGAGAGCATCTTTTCATAGTATTTTTCCACATTTTTGCTCCCTGTCTCAAAGTTTACAATTTGTGGAAAGATTTAGTAACTAAACGCTTCCTCATTAGAAGCTTGAACTCTTTACATGAGGGTATTGCATGGTTTCCACTGTCTTTGATGACTAAACATTTCACCGTGTCAGTGCATATTTCTCAAATGCAGAGACGAACTTTTACCTTTCCCTTTTCATTGTAGTTGTGGTGGTCAAATATGGCATCCATTCCCTCCTTCCAAAGAAGGTACTCAGGATTTTAAATCTTCCCAACGAACAATAGAAGCATGTTTTAATCAACTTGTGGCAATTCCTTGAAGCTCTATTTTGAGTATACATGGCTGCAAAAAGATGTTAGCATATAGAAAATTGGACCTTACAATCACTCCCTCACGTGTTTCACTCAAAAGATGTAGCACTCCCTAAAAAATATTTAAAATCTCTCCAAATAGGAAACAAATATTTAAGAGTTTGCAATATCAAGCACTTTAAGAAGCAAGTCTTGAATACAAAATCGAGATGGACGTGAAGTATCGATTCTCAAAGAAACAAGTGAAATGAAATAAATGAGAAACTTAGAATCAATAACCTCAACTTCAAGACCCAACAAACTATAAATAAGAAATAATAAACGAAAAGAATCAAGGAAATAAGGAAATAAGATTCAAGAAATAGAAACAAAATTCACCCAAACCTATATTTGACAAGATTTAACTTTTAGCACTCTAGAAGCTGAAATCTCACATGATTCTTAGAGTTTGATCTTGAAACATTTAACCTACTTGAGCTTGCACGACAAGATTTCCCCTCCTAAGACCAGGTAATCTCTTTTTTTGTCATCTTCTGCTAAGTAATTGCTTTATTATGATTCTTACACAGGAGTCGATGAGGGTCTGATTGGATGGCTTCACTATTGGTCAAAATAGGATTTTGACCACTTGCATTTTCTTGATGACATGCTTTTAGTTGTTTCTCGTGAATATCAAAATGATAGCAACCTTCTTAATTTGGTTTAAGTTTTCCCTTCCTTTAACTTTTTTTGGGACCATAACACAAAGCTGAACTGATCCCATCTTAAAACTAAAGAATGCTCAGTGTAGAACGAGGGGAACAGGAAACCCCCTATATTATAAACGAATAGAATCCTAAGTTCAAGGTCTTGTACATTTCTTTCTCAATTGTTATTATATTTTTGGTCAGATTAAGTTTGAGAATTTGTTGTTTGCCATGCTCCCAATCTCTGTTGCGTACCCATGTTTCTACTTTCTTGAATGTTGTATTTATTTCCCACTGATAATCGTCATGTGCACTTTTTACGTTCTTTTGTAATGAGTTATGTTTCTAGTACCCTATCACCACCCGATATATTTGAAGAAGCTTTGTTAACTATACTATCTTGTGCTGCCTTCAATCAGGCCCCCAGAAAAGGTTGGAAGATCTGTTGCGCCAATCTGGTAATAAGTTATGTGCAGATTGTGGCTCACCAGATCCGAAATGGGTGTAAGTCTAAATGTTTTATTTTCTTTTTATTCAGATATTCATTCATACAAGTTTCAAATTAACTCTCTTTCTCCTTGAAATCCTGATCAAATTGTAGTGTGGTGTGTGGGAAATGTGATGAAAATTTAAAACTAGGTGCCATTGAATTGTTCAAGAGAGAAGTCCCCATTCCTTGCTCTCAAGTTTCTTCCGACATCAATAGAACAGTTTTTTCTGTTTTGCCATTGTTTCTTTCCTTTCTTTTCCTTCCCTATGAACCCATGGGGAAACAATTCCCTCTTGGAAGTTCCTCCCTCGAGTCAGTTATTCAGACGTTGAATAGGTGGATTAAACTTCAGCCAACTGACCGTTTTCATATGTTGCGTGCCTCTTTTTCTCTCTTTTCTAGGGCACAGGGAGGGAGGAAGTTAATAGTTGCCGTATGATTGTTGTTGAGATCTTTATTCTGATCTCTTCTGGAAGAAACAAATGGACTATTATTAGGGAATTGAGACCTCAATCTACTTGGGCTGACCATTGAATCTCCTTAGGCCACTTTATGTCACACCTGACACGTCTCTTTAATGTGTATAAATTAGAAAAGGATCAGTTATTTTTATCACTCTTGATGTCTTGGGTGGTTTCTACATCACACAAAATGCAACTGTTGCCTTTGATATCTACTGAAACTTCTTCTCAACATGAGTTTAGTTTTTTGTTCATAATCTCTGATTTATGGATGCAGATCGTTAAATTTGGGAGTATTTATCTGTATAAAGTGTTCTGGAGTACACAGAAGTCTTGGAGTTCATATCTCTAAGGTTTCTTCTTCTTCTTCTTTTTCCTTTTGTTTCTTTTTTATTCTCCTAATAACAAACACATAAGGTAGGTCTTGACCATGCTGCTTGATGACGTGATCATTTTAGATAAGCTTTCCATATTAGAAAAAATTTATGGCATTAGACAATATCATAAAGCAGGTCACGTATCAACATTGCCAAAGAACCTTTGATCTTTCTAAGCTCGTCATCAACCTCAAAATACCTTGAACAGTGTACCCAAATGAACAAAAGTCAGATGCTTCTATTTGCACGTCTGCTCTCACAGTTGATTGATACTTGATATAGATGATAAATTGTACTCCTTCAAGTGTAAAAGGAAATTTGGCACTGTAGCTGTATGAGGAAAGGATGTTTTGGTTGTGAACCTTGACGATGGTTGGAAATTCTGAGTACTTAAAATTTAGAGCATGTATGTTTAGGATGCTTCATGTTCTGACTTCAGGAAATTAGCATAATTTCTATTGAGGACAATTTTCTGGTGGACAAAAAGATCACGGATGCACCCTAAGGGATGCTCTTGATGGCAAAGGATTGGGATAGTTGGAGATGCCCTCTAAAGTCTTGGTTTAAGCCCCAGGTGGAAACCTTAGTTTAAAACCTTTGCCATCTCTAGAAGTTGGCGCTGGGATGGGCAAAGGCACTCTTAGGATTAGTAAGGGTGGTCCACGAGCATAATGTAGGGAGTGATGATACTTGATCTATATGCATAAAAAAAGAAAGAAAGAAGAATTATGGATGCGACAGTTTGGGTTGTAAGGCAGATTTGGGATTTAGTTGCTGAGACTTGATAAGGCAACAACGGAAAACAGTTTCCACCTCAACTTGTCTCAGTAGATAGTTATTCTCGTTAGGATAGCCAAAGTGAGCATACCAAAAAGTATCCACGACCAAGACGTCAGAGCTTCAAATCCCCCGCTCCAAATGCTGTTGAACTCCAAAAAGAAGTTATTCTCAGTAGGATATACTTACATGATCCTTTCTATTATATTGATCACCTGAATTGAATTTTGAAGTAATTTCTGTTTACTATTTTTATATGGACTTTAATTTCAATACTGAAGGCTCATATCTCATGCAAAGAATTTTATGATCTAAATTTATCAACAATAAATTCCAGGTTTTCTCAGTGAAGCTTGATAATTGGACGGATGAACAAGTCAATACTTTTATAAGCATGGGTGGAAACGCAGATGTAAACAAGAAATATGAAGCCGGCATCATAGATTTGACCAGAAAACCAAAACCAGATTCCTGTATAGAGGAGCGCTTTGAGTTTATAAGGTATTGCTAGCACACGCTCATTCATTTATCGAGGAATCTGAAATATTGAGGACATTCTATTATATTAAAGACTCACATTTCTTGTAAATTCAGGAGAAAGTATGAACTGCTACAATTTTATAACGGCAATGGTCATAATTCTAGTGATGGCTCAGTTAATAAAAGGATTTCATCATGCTCTCAAATTAACTCTTCAAGCAAGAATGGTTCCCAGGACAAAAGGCAGTATGAGAAACTAGCTACCAGGCATCGCATTGCGAATGCGTTTCGTAACAGCCGAGTTAGAAGAGATAGTGACCACAAGAGTTTCGACAAGAGCAACCCTTCCGTCTCAAGACTAGCGTCAGTAAGTTTCTTTGATTATGGATTTTTCTTATTAATGATTTCTTTCAGCATTTTAAGTTGTGGATTGCTGTAGAGATCACAAATTCCTTTTTTATTTTCAAATTTTTGGTTGCAACCATTCCTCTTTAAGCAGATCCATGTGGTTATATATCATTTATTTCATGGGGTCCCTAATCTGAGGAATTCTGTTTTTCATTCTTTAATATTCTCAAGTTGACCCTTAACGACCCTCCTCAAAAAGATTGTTATAATTTTGTTCCAAAAATTGATGCATGATAAGTTATTGTTTATTTGAGCACTTAGATATGCTTCTCATATGCTACTTGACATACTAGTCTTCAATACTTGAGCCACCCAAACACTCGAACTAGTAGGGATCATTTGATATGTTGAGCCATAAAAACGTGCTTTTTTAAGTTATTAGACTACACATTCAAGATGAAGAGGGGACTGAATAAGCACACTAAACGGTTCTAATGAATTCAAAATGCTCTGATTAACCAAGAATGAGTTTTATCTCTTATAAATGCATATTCTTCATCAATGAACAGTTGAAAATGTAAAGCTGGAACTTTGAGCTAGCAGTCAAATTATGTTGGAGATGAGTGAGGGAAATAAAAAGCAAAGCAAGTGTTGTGGCTTAAAATTTTTGTTTGATATGGATGTTGGATCTTATTACTTTAGATGTGATGTTTGTAGGCAGGTATGGTCGAGTTCGTCGGGTTGGTTAAGGTCAATGTGGTTAGAGGCACGAACCTAGCTATCAGAGACGTGGTGTCCAGTGATCCCTATGTAATTCTCTCATTGGGTCACCAAGTGAGCCTCTCTTTTATATTACTTCGATCCACATTCAGGTTTAAGATTTGTATTAGCTACAATTTTATCTAGTACTGATTCCTACTGCTATTTGTTGCAGTCTGTGAGGACTCGTGTCATAAAGAGCAACCTTAACCCAGTTTGGAATGAGAGCCTAATGTTGTCGATTCCCGAACATATACCTCCGCTAAAAGTGGTGAGCAATAACATAACTTGTTCGAGAATGAAATCATGACTTAAACAACTAAATCAAATTTTGAGTACTATGTTGTAGAAAGTTGAGTCTCTTATTCCAAATCTATCACCGTTTCTTGCCAAAAGCATCTTCTTCATCAAGGAACCTCCTGTCTATAGTCATTAAGTTCTTAAGCTTCCAAGTATATTAGATTATCTACAGTTAGTAAGAGATAACAAATGATGATTTCTGCAGCTTGTCTATGATAAGGACACATTTTCCACTGATGACTTTATGGGCGAGGCCGAAATCGACATACAACCCTTGGTTGCAGCCACAAGGGCATACGAGAAGTCGACAATTGATGAATCAATGCAGCTGGGAAAATGGGTGGCAACTAATGACAATACGTTGGTAAAAGATGGAATCATTAACCTTGTAGATGGAAAGGTTAGACAGGACATATCTCTTAGATTGCAGAATGTGGAGAGAGGTGTTCTTGAGGTTGAGCTAGAATGCATTCCACTCACACAATAGCTGCTGCTATGGGGAGGTATTGAATTCATATGATTTTATATTTAGTCGATCACTAGAAAAAAGCTTGAAAGTTGAAGAAAAAATGATCATTCTCCTTTGGTAGCTGCTGTATATCATTGGCATTTGTAATGTGTAAATAAAAAGATGTGGAATATATGGCTTAGATTTAATCTTCTGTTCTTCATTTTTTCTTCTTTTTTCAGATCCTTAAATTGTATTACAATATTAGAGTTAGAACCTTTCAAACTCCTTGGGAACAGGTGGTGGTAGTCTTTCCCCTTTCATTGCTAGTAACAAGTCCTTCACCTAGGTGTATAAGATCTTTATGAATTTACTATATCGTTGATTCGATATTTAACACGAAAAGCACAATAACCAAGGTCTACTATGACATATGATTCAAACAATTGATCAAATATAGATTGTTGATGTGAGATCCCACACGGTTGGAGAGGACTATCTGCTAGGGGTGGACTTAGACTGTTACTGTTGACATTGACTGATATGCTTAGTAGGAAGAACTACATCGTCATTGTCACCTACCATGGCACTACCAAGTGAACACTCAATTTATCATAGTTGCGAGATAGAAATCGATCTACCCCTATAATGTAAATTTCTACTCTCAAGAAATCTTTTTTCTATGCATTAGAATCAAGAACTACTTCGTCATTGTCACCTACCATGACACTACCAAGTGAACACTCAGTTCATCATAGTTGCGAGATAGAAATCCATCTACCCCTATAATGTAAATTTCTACTCTCAAGAAATCTTTTTTCTATGCATTAGACTCAAGAACTACTTCGTCATTGTCACCTAACATGGCACTACCAAGCGTACACTCAATTCATCATAGTTGCCATCATAGTTGCGATTTACCCTATAGTGTAAATTTCTACTCTCAAGAAAACTTTTTTCTATGCATTAGAATCTTATACCATGATGTCTATGAGGCTGTTTATACTGTTGAGACATCTTTATGTTCTTTCTTGTGATAAATATTCCTATAGTTGGTATTTAACAAGACTTTGAGATGAGAGACAATCAAGTAAAGATCAAAATTAATGAACAATTTTAACACTGCATTTACCTGGCTGTTTCTCCAAGCACTAGACAATGTCCTCAAAGATCTGTGAACTGCAGCTCTGTCGGTAAAACAGGGCTGAAAAAATGCCAACTTGAATCATGGAAAGCACCAAAATATTCATCTTAAAGTGTCTTGATTTTGATCTCGCGTGAGAATTTTCTAGAGGCCAAGATGTACTTTGCCGAATCAACAACGGGTGAGTTCTTGAATTCAGATACAAACTGCTCATAGATCTCAAAGCTATTTCCAAACAGCACAACATGATTCAACAGCTCCACCGGCCAATTCTCCTGTAAAAGATTGTTGTACAGCTCTGCCTCGCAATGGGGCATGAAGAACATTGTTGGCTTCTGCGCACATCGCCGTCCTTGCTCATTTACTGATAGAACAGAACAACCAAAGGATTCAATAATCCGACATTCGATTGCAGAAAGAATTGGATCGAACACCTCTAACCTTCCAATCCAACTAAATTTTCTCTTCAACAATATAGCAAGACTGAGCTGCAATCGAGGATTTTCATAATTTTCAATGCTTCCTACGCCATAGATAACCATCCCCATCTTCGACTCCGAGGCCAAAACCCTATTCAAGGATTCCAAGACCGGCATCGTTTCAAGCTCAACAACAAGAGTTCGATAAAATTGGGAGATCTCAACTTTCTTAATACAGATTTCCATCTTATGCAACAGTTTCGATTCCCTGATTGTATCATTGGCCTGATCAGACGGAGACCAAGTCCGCTGATCTTCTTGTTTTCTTAGCTTCGGCAAATTCTTCCTCTGCCTGCCACGACGAGGTAAAACAATCGTCCAGTCGCCATTATTCGACTGATCCGGAATAGCAAGAGTTTTTGCCGACGCTGCCATTGTTCAAGAGACAACCGTCGAGTTCTAATTACAACTACTCGTTTCTAACCTAAAGAATTTTCATAAAGCAACATCATGATTCTGCATTAATCAAAAGGAAACAGCACATCAAACTCCTGTAGAAAAAAGTGAAAATTAAAGCTCAAATTCAATCGGAGGATCACCGAATCGAACCGCGAGGATCACATAATTGTATAAAAAGAAGGAAGATGCCTCTAGTGGAATAATATCGAAATCAGTGACCGTAAACACATGAACAGAAGAAATTCGAGTGGATGAATGTAGAAGAAATTTAAAGAGGTTTTTGAGTAATAGACCTGATTGGAGTTCGATTCTTCTCTTCCGCCATTGACAACGCAGCGGATTTGATTTGCCGTTCGTTCATGTTTGTACGGCCGTCTGCATCTCTAGCTTTTGCAGGTTAGCGAATAGACTTTTATTTATTTATTTTATTCTTTGTATAAGAAATAAATTTCAAAAATAACTTTTTAAAAAAATATATTTCATTTCAAGTGTTTAAATAAATATTTAAAGAAAAATATATTTAGTATATTTATATAATAAAACAAAAAAAATATATTTAAGATTTGAATGATAAATGAAACGGGTGAGAATATATATATATATAATATTTAAATATGATTTAAATAAAATATATATGTTTGATAAATATAATTTTAGGATAATTGGATTCTTCAATCCGTTATAGATCATCTTTCAAGAGATTTCTATCAGTTGGATTCTTGGGTTCGGGTCATAGTAAGAAAGACACTATGAAAGAAGTTCTATCTAATCGGTTTTGAAGAAGCGTTGACTTTTTGTCAAATGTTCGGATATTTTTCAGCTATAATATAATTTTGAAATATTTTTTAAAGGTGAAAAATTAATATTTTATTTTTAAAAAATAGAAATATTTATTTTTATAATTTAGCTTATATAATACTTAAAAAAGTGAGTGAATTAATAATATACAAAAAAAATTAAAATATACGAGGAATGAGTTACACTACGACGTCGTTTTATGGTTCTATGAAGAAGCGGGTCATAGTTTCGTAAATACAGGACGAGGAGAGAGAGAGAAGAGTCGAAAGAAGGCAAGAGAGGAACAAAAATGTCATTGGTAGACTACGCTTCGTCGGACGACGACGAGACGGCGGCGGCGGCGGAGGAGGAGGAGGAGCAGCAGCAGAATCGGAAGAAACCGGAAGACCACACAACCAAGGAGCCTCAATTCCCCAACCAAGAGCCGAGGTCTCAATCTCACCCCGTCAACCAGTAACTTTTCTTCCATTTCTTCAGATTTTCTAGTTCCCAAGCGGGAGGGCTCCAATTCCAATTTCTGATTTTTCTTTTTCTCTATTCTAATCGAAGTTCAATCGTTTTCCTTCTCTATTTTTTCACAAAGCGTATAGGTTTTGTCTTCGAAGTGAATGATGTGTTGGTTGTATACCAGTTCTTATTTTTTGTGTTCCATCTTTTAGGGTTATTGTTGTTGTTAGATTAACTGGGAGTAATGGAGTTTGTTGTGCTTCCAGATGTTATTGAGTGGCTTTTTAAAGATCGTTATTGTGGTCATACTGTTTATTTTTTTTGGTTTACTATGGAATTTTGCAAGTTCGAAATGGCTTCTACGTAGGTTTAGGGAATTTTTTAGCTATTGATTTCGTTGCCTTGGAACTAAAGATTTGGTTTATTTTGGTTGGTATTCTGGTGTGAGTGATTTATTTCCTTGTGATTTGCACTGTAGGCCCATTCTTAAGCCAAAACAGCCATCTGAAACTAACGAGGATTCTTCTGTGCCTTCGGTTGAGCTTCCTGATGCTTCTCTACTATTGAATTCTCCTACTTCTTCCAGTCTTCTTAGTGGTAGCGATCACTCTTCTCGAGTGGCAGCAGCCATGGCTGCCAATGCATCTCGTAAGAGAGAAACAAATGTTTTGGGATCTTCTCTTCCCCGGAGTAAAGTTCCACGATCGAATTTGCCTCACTCAAAGAATGTTCCAGAGACTGTAGGGCGTTTGTTGGTTCCACCTCAGCTTACTGGAAGGTTCGTTCTATTATATTCTCTCCTTCTTTTCCATTTGTTTATGCTAATATTTGGATTCACTTAAGGTCAATGACATTATTCCCTGAATAAGTGATACTGCAAGACATTGATAATTGGATTTGATGCATTTATATATAGTTTATGAAGTCTGCACTAGGCGATGAGAATCGAATCATTTCAATATCATGTACATACAGATGATTGCATTGGCATAGATATGATTCTAAGTTTATTTCTTTCCCGTGAAAGTGCTCTCTCAGTCTACCAATTAAAACCTATGATTCTAAGTTTAGCACGCACGACATAATGGTAATGTAGTACTAAGAAGTTAGGTATAAGATAAACATGGCCTTTTGTTTTTGGCCATGAATTGTTTTGTTAATACACTCAGTTCTATGAAAGTAAATGCATCGATCGGTGTTCGTCATCATCATTTCCTGCCTTGCAAGAACTTTAAAGTTAAATGTGACTCAGATTCCGTCTGATGATATCGAGCCTGATATCAAGCCTGCAGTTTCTTCTATTACAAATCTCTGTAGTTAACAGTAGAGTTGAGCTTCATATTAGTTAGTCAGTGGTTTGCTTGGATTAGGATTTGGTTTTCCATTTGGCAGTGAAACTAGTGGGTTTCCAGATATATATTTCATTCCTTCTTTTGCTTATTAGAACAAGATATACAATCTTCTATATGTGGGGTATAATTTATTTGGGGTTTCTAGTTCAGAGGGATGGAGCATTTCCTTACCAATGCCTTGCTATTGCTCCAACTAACCGTAACTTCTTTAAGATATTACAATTTCACTGATTTTAATAGGAAAAAAATTTGACAGAAGAATCTTTCAACTGGTACGATGCTCTTTTCTCTGTTGTTTCTTACTGCTAGTGTGATTCTTCAATATGCTGGATGTGCTGAAGGCCTCAGCAAGTGTGATTCTATCGCCTCAAGAACTTAGCATAGAGTTAGTGCATGTCATTACTCTTGCAAATATAACCATTCATATGTGAGATCCCACATCAGTTAGAGAGGGGAATGACACCAAGGGTGTGGAAGCCTCTCCCTAGTAGACGTATTTTAAAACTTTGAGGTTGACGGTGATACGTAACGGGCCAAATCGGACAATATCTGCTAGCAGTGGACTTGGACTGTTACAAATGGTATTAGAGTCGGACACCGGGCGGTGTGTCAGCGAGGACGCTGGCCCCCAAGAGGAGTGGATTGTGAAATCCCACATCGGTTGGAGAGGGGAACAATACCAAGGGTGTGGAAACCTCTCCCTAGTAGATGTATTTTAAAACCATGAGGCCGATGACGATACTTAATGGGCCAAAGTGGACAATATCTACTAGCGGTGGGCTTAGGCTATTACAATGTATTTTCTATTTTGTTTAGAATTTGTGATGAATTGTGATTGGAATCCTGAACTTGTTTTACGTTTGGCAGGAGTAACATTGTCACTGAAGATATAAGCAAGTTGTTTGTGAAAAAGTCGGCCAAGCCCTCATAGAGGATTTCTTTCTAGAGTTGTGTTGGTTGTTGCAGCTTTCATTAATTAATAGTTTGTAGAAGTTTCAGGTTGGTCTAATGCACATTGTAGAATGTGAAGAATAGTGCACTCATATTTACTACTCAAAACAAGGGGGGGAAATGGACCAAGTTCAGATGCTTCTCTTCTATCTATCGTTTCATCTGTGGTACGTGAATTTTTCCCCCCTCGAAAAACTAATGGGGCATAGTTTTGTTCTGAATCTTTTTCCCTTGTTCTTGTTTAATTTAGGTTAAGATATCATTTTTGTTTTCGTTCAGCTTTAGTCTTTGTACTTATTAATCATCAAATCTAATCTCTGCACTTTCAATCAATCTTGAAATTAGTCTGTGTAATGTTAGTTTAAATTTAGTTTTTATCAAACTGACAATAATTTTCATGCAAGAAAAGATAAAGCTATGCCCTAAATACTCTCTTTATTGGTTTGAGGCCTTTTGGCACCTTATTCTAATTCTTAATTGTTTGTAACTTATATAAACTTGCTAAAAATAAATAAAAGTGGTTTTATTATTATTATTATTATTCAAGTCCTTTGATCCTTTGGTGAACCAAAAGACAAATATTGATTGATGCATCATTGAAGTTGTCAATGCACTAAACGTTTAAGTCACCCACTCCACATCTAAATCAAATGTGGAAAGCATTATAATGAGCTTGAATGTCATTGTATGGCTTCATGATTTTCAACGCTATTTTATATATATATATATATATATATATATATTATAGGGTTATAAGGCTTCACACTTACAGCTAACCAAAATAGCAATAACTAATGAAATGAAAACTGGGCCAAATCTTTCTTCACCCTTCATCTGTCAGTTTATTTGGCAGAAAGTTTGTTCCTGACATGGGTACAAAATACATCCTCATATCATATGCTCATGGTTCTTAAACCATCAAACTGCAAATCTCTATCTGAATTATGAACTACTACAAACAAGTATTCCAAGCTAAGGATGAGATCAAAACCATCCCCAACAAATTCAATGAATTCCGAGTTAAAAAAGGAAACCGATAACGAATGGAAAAGCGTCCATCATCCATTCTATGAAGAAATTCTTCTGGCTTCGACGACTATAAGCATATCATCATTCTAAGGTTATGTTTATTCAATTTTATGGAGAGGTTTCTCCCCAACTCGTAAAAACAACAAAACTCCGGATGATCGATGGATCGAGCATCAATCTCACGCATTTGCAAGCTCAGAAGCAGAAGGTGCGGGGGCAGCAGGAGCAACACCACCAGTAGTAGGCCTGGTCAAAAGAAAGTGTCAATGTGAGTGACAGCTCTTAAACGAATGGGGAAAATCAGGATAAAGGTATAGCCATGAGATGAACTTACAGTCCAACGAACACTTTGAATGCATCGTAAATGCCCCATTGAGCACCAGTAAGAGTTCCAATCATGACAATACGGAGGGGTAGACCACGGGTGAAGAGACCCCATAATCCGAGCTTCTTGACAGCCTGCACCATGAGAACCCAAAAGTAATGAAACAACAAATAGAATGCAAACCAAGTATAACTCCGTCCAAAAGGATGCAGTACTCACGTCTCCAACAGTTGCTCCTTTGGCATTGTTGAGGAACGACACGAGATTATCAGCAGGATGAGACACAATAGCACAGAAAACACCAGCCACATATCCACCAGCAAAACTAATACCAAGCTGGAGAGATTTGCTGCACTGGTCCTTTGGTGTGGGAACGGCATACTTGTATATCATCTCGACAATTGTCTCGAAGGAAGCAAACTTCATCATTGTGTCTGAAAGAAAAGCACCGATCATTATGAATAGCAAACAAAAATAAAGCAAAAGTTTGCGAACAGAGTATAAGACAAGATAAAATCACAGCTTGTTGATTAAAACAAACGGAGAATACTATGCTATGCAAAGCATAATCTACTTCACAATTTAGGCTTTTAAATCCAATCACTGAATCCAGGATCAAATGGAATTTTCTTTTTGATACTTTGAACAAGGTCAAATAACAAAAGAAAATTGAGTTTTGACGACAATAAATCAAAGAATAGAAAAAAAAATATATATATTGCCAACCATGTTGTAAGCCATTGGCTCATTGGCTCATTGGCTCATCCACTGGACAACCATGTTGTATGAAACTCAAGCACATATCTAATGATGACAGTTAGAAAGTTCTCCTAATCAATTTAGGGACCCCCCCATATCTTTCTACCATAGTGGGGGAGAATAAAAGTTGAGCAACATTGCGACATCAAAACATTGCCATATGCACAAACTATTATCCTAATCAATTTAGGGATCTCCCCACATCCTACTACCATAGTGGGGGAGAATAAAAGTTAAGCAATATTGCGACATCAAAACATCGCAATATGCACAAACTGTTCTCTGCCACAGACGAGGAAAAGTTGTTTTGAGGAAGAATAAAATTCCAATTCCTTCAACCATTGTGGTACAACGTTAGACCCCAGATGACTTGGGAGTAAATTGTGTAAAACAATTAGCAACCCCCATACTTAAATGGTTGGGGATAGGGATGAATTCTTATTTTTTGTCCAAAAAAAAAATAAAAAAGAACAATCAAATTAACTGAATGTCAAATTAAAGAATACCTTCAAAATAATTTTTCTTAAATCTCCACTTGAAGGTACAGAAAATGCGGAGACAATACAAAACTCCAGAAATTCGTACATCGCCATCAAACAACAACAAAAATTACCAAGGAATTCCTACTGTAATTAGGTGTACCAGACAATGCATGTAGACATTATATATTAACGACCAAGCATCTATGAACAGAAGCAACTTCCTAAGCATCAACAAATGAAAAATATTGCCAACTACAATCCATGGCCCCAGCTAGGGATGGCAAAACATCTCCACGGGATCAAGTTTCTGCCCCAATGGGGAATAGATTCCCCATTTCGAAAACCACAAGTATATGCTTAGCACATTCCTAAAATCTTGTAAAATCTTGAATTATAGGAATGTCCTTGTAATGATAGCTAAGCATATCAATTTTAAAGTATAATTCTTCACAGTTCCAAGTTTGTTATGTATGTGCGAGAAAACACGATCATTCATTCCAAGAAAAAGCAATAGGAACAAAATAAGCACATAGAAGTTACAGATAAGAATTTTTCTTTTTTAACTTACATGGAATCTGGCGACCCCAGAGTGGAACAATACCCTTGTACAACCTGCAATTACAAACGAGTTGTAACTCATTAATCCATTAAAACATCCAGAGATATTTCCTCCTGTCATCTCACGTACCCTAGAGTTCCTTCAGATTTGACAAACTTGGGAAGTCCATCTGCTAGCCCTCTAGCGAATCCAGGCTGAGTTTGAACCCGAACCTTGACTGCTTCGAAAGGGCAAAGTGCAACATCAGCAATCACCTCAGCCGATGCAGAGCCAGCAAGGTAGATCAAGGTCTTGTACTTAGCAGCGTACTCGGGTCCAGCAATATCAGAGTAATACTTCTTAAAGAACTCGTAGAAACCAAACTTGCAAGCACCCTGAGCACTGTAGCCAAGAAGGGTAGGCACCCAACCCCTAAAGAAACCCCTCACACCCTGCTCCTTTAGCAAAATTCCAAAACCAGACGAAATGCTTTTGTATTTCGCAGGGTCGATCTGAAAAAACGTAACACTGTAGTTACAACTTAATTAGCAAATTAATAACTAGACTATTCCTAAAATATATCGGCCAAGTTCTAGATCTGATCCATACAAAATTCAACCACCACCGGAAAAAAAAAAAAAACAAGAACCTCCTAACAAAGCGAGAAAACCCACAGATCTGATCTGAATAGAAATAAATCAGAGAACGACGACAAACATTTCAAAATCTCCAAACACAAACATAAGTAACCTAATTGGAAACGTAAACACAAGCAGAAAACTGATCACAAATCGAAGAGAATCAAACCTGCATATTGCATTTAACCAAATCGAGAGGAGTAACAGTCATATGCGTGAGACCACAGCTGAGAATCCCACCAAAAGTACAAGCAGCGTAGAACGCCGGCGAGTACAACTCAATCTTCTTAGACGGCTCACTCGGGGCAGGAATAACAATGGTCTTAGGAGAAGAGGAAACCGCATCAAAAGTGGATGAAGACTGAAGCATCTTCTTAATGGGCAGAGTGCGAGTGGAAGAAGGTGAAGAATAAAGGAAGATGGGGATCAGAGATTGGCGAGAGGGTCTATCAGAGTGCGCCATGGGAGATGGAACTTGGAGCAGAACAAGTCAAAGCAAAATTCCAACAATGGAGAAGAAAATGAAGCAACCCTAGAAGAGGAACCTCGCTTTTTTCTCGCTCAGAAACGGATCCCTGAAACGCCCAATGGCTCTGATTTTCTCTGAAATGGAGAAATGGGGTTAGAGATGGGTAGTTGCTTTTATAGTCAACGGGCAGGTATGACGCTGCCCGAAGTCGCGTGGGGAACACGCGAGAAATGGACGGTCATTGGTGTCTCCAAATTATGAAGTGGCCTTTTTATTTGTCCTTTTTTGACGGTTCCAATAATCAACGGCTACGATTGAATCTTGAATGCGAATTATGAGTATAATCTTACGTTGTCAATTTCAGGTTTAATTAATGTCTAAATCAAATGTCTTTTGTTTTTTAATTTTGATTTAGTTTTGTTTTAATCATAATTATGAACAATATTTATCATTTTCTCTCGAAATTTTAAATACATCATGTAGATATATTCATTTAATGAAATATTATTTTAAAAAATATATTTAAATGGGACCTATTCTCTATTCTTGACTTTAGCATTGAATTTGTGAAAGCAACTAAACCATGAAAGTCAAATTAAGAGGAGAATGTATAAGACTTTTGGTATATAATAATATGAAATGTAATACCAAATAAGTTAAAGATTTATGTTATAAAGTCTCGTAATTAATTATTTAATTTTTAATTATATTTTTTATTATTTTAATTATAATTTAACATTATTTATTATATAAAAAAATTAAAGGTTATTAATGTAATTTCGAACACAAAATTAGGATGCAATTATTATAAATAATTTGATATGCTTAGGCATACGAGTGAGAATATTCTATACACTGAGTTTTTACTATCATCTCTACAAATATTCAAATTTATAAATAACACATATATAAATACAAAAGTCTAACAAAATGCACAAAATTATTCACAAACTAAGACCATTGCTACAATTTAACCCTCAAACTATAATTTTTTATAAAAGGTTTTTGCAATTCTTCCTATAATAGAGTTGGATCATGAATTTGAATGGGTAGAATATTGGTCTAATTTTGACCGTTGCCAAGAAAGAACTTGTTGATATAAAATTAAAATTTTAGATCATGGAAAAAAAAAAATACATATCTCAAATTTCAACCACTAAACTCATAATTTAACCTAAAATAAGTACACAACAATGTCATGATTTTTTAATACAAATATAAAGTAAAACACAAAACTAGTTGAAAATATAAATAGCATCTAATATTTTTAATTCAACATAAAAAATAAAAAATAATAAAAAAAAAAAAGGTAGAAAAGGACACATACATAAGAATCCATGATTTTTTTTTAGCATATGGTATATAAAAATTTAAAAGTTCAACCGAGTATATGCTATAAATATTATTGAGGTATGTTCATTTCCGCCAGACAAACTAGGCCATATAAAAGTATATAAAACACTAATGAAGCTTAGCGTACACCATAAACCATGATCCTAATTTTCTTTTTCTGAATCGGCTGAATACTACACTTAGAGCTGCAGTAGTCTACCTAAAGAAACTAATGGAAGAAACTAACTCGACTTGCTCGATTTCGACAATAATTATTACATACCGATTGCTTAGATTTGCTCCTTCCTCATGATATGGTCGAAAAATGCATCTTCTCGCAACTAAAAATGGCCTTGGTGCTCATGCAGCGTTGCTAGCTAGCTAGACTGAACCATTTTGAGATTTACATTCTCTATCTAATGTGAGTTTGTCGGTCTCGAAGAAGGCCGAATGGAGAGCCCGAACGCATTGCTCTGCTTCGCTGTCGTTTACGATCAATGAGATGTTGACCTGTCCAGAGGATAGCACAATTGAGTCATTGTGAACATACAAATACTTTCAAAACAGAACAACAATTTCTTATTTGGTCTAGTCACTAGATCACAACGATATCTTTTGTGTGTGTATGGTCGACGTATTACAAACTACTCTTTATGCTCGAAGTTTATTCCACTAATCTTATATGGAGGCTTCACGAGCAGAGTTCTAGGAGACTAAAAAATTATTTTCGATAAGTTTCTTATATAATACTTCAATTCAGAACTTGAGTATCTGTAATATATTTTTTTTTATATTCATAACAGTGCATGCACCTCAACTATTATCATGGAAAACCTATTTGACTCAACACATTTTTGTTACCAAAGAAATTTGTAGGATAATAAATCATAGATAAGTGATCAGCATGACTTAAACTCATTTCCTCTAAGCTCATTATATAATTTACGTTATCTCATGAATCATTAGACCAACCCATAGAAACAACAGTAATATATTAAGAGTAAGGCCACCTCGAGGTAATCACGACGATATTTCAAATATGAAATCTAATGCGACACCCTAAGATGGACTTCTTTGATGGATAAGTGATTGCATGCATAAGAATGCGTTTTCGATGTGAAGTATAAAGAGAAGAAGAAACCTTAGAAGCACCCTGGGATATCATTTGAACATTTACACCATTGGTACGAAGAACGCGAAATGCCTGCCAAAAAGTTGTGCATTAGAAACAAGCAACAATGATGCTTGAAAACCTCAACATCAGGTCGATTACTTAAGAGAATTCTTCTTCGGAAATTGGATAAAATCCATAAACATTCAACCGAGAAGAACAAGGTCAAAAGGCCAGTTTGATAACTATATTGCACCCCGCCCCAAAAATAAAACGTTTTGAAAAATTTAGGTTATGGTTTTAAATACGATTCAAATGAAGGGGCTAGAAAATAAGCATAAATTTTAAGTGCATGTGATCAATCAGTGGGGTAACTAGATGCAGCACCTTTTCCAGTATCAGTGATGACCTTTGAACATTTCCAATGAGTGAAATGATTGATCTATGTTGAAGCAGTTTCACAAAAGCAATTTTCTCAAGTTCTTCCACTACGTGGTCAAGCTCCTGCCAATTGGATATAATATAAAATCAGCTGAGCAAGGTCTGCTGAAATTCTGATTGTTGAACATAAATGACAAATGGGGAGTGAAGTAACAAGACTAGCATAATAAATATTCAAACAACACATGTTACTGTGTTTTACAAAGGACAATAAGTCTCTCAATCACCTTCATGCAAGATGAACAAAAAGACATTGTTCGAGTGAAGTGACAACTAACATACACATAAACAAATAAATAAAGTTATATATTACAATAATTTTAAGAAAACAAAGCCCCATAATGTGTAAACATTAAATATGAATACGCAAAACTTAATATGTAAAAACATACAATACAATAGTTTCATAGTTCTAAACCAACATTAGAACATATAGTAGATTAGTTAACAAGAATAATTATTTTTAATTAAATAAATAAAAAGTAAAAATTTGAAATAAAGTTATAGATAACAATAATTTTAAGAAAACAAAGGCCCATAAGTGTTAACATTAAATATGAATACGTAAAACTTGAAATATGTAAAAACATACAATACAATAGTTTCGTAGTTCTAAACTAAAATTTAGAATATATGGGTTCATACGCTTGCCTGCTGTATGAGCTCTCTGCTCCAAAGCTTCGATGGATCCAAGGTCAGGGATAAACTGACTTCACTGGTAGCAACCACATCAACTGATATGCCCAAATCTTCAAAGATTGCAAACACCTGTATTTAAAAGAAGAGGCAAAAAAAAAAAGATATCAATGAAAAATAGCAATAATTCAGGGCACTGGGAAAAGAAATGATCATCTCCATACCCTGGCAAGAAAACCGAACTGACCGAGCATGCGAGTGCTAACAATATCCAACATGGTTACATTGCGTTTCAAAACAATGCTTGTTAGTAATGCCTGTAATTGAGAATATGAAAAGTTACAGCTAGTTTCAAGTCTTCTATACAGCTTTAGTTCTTTTTCAAGAAATCTAAGAAGTACGAACCTGGCTCATATCTCTGCTCCGGGTGATGAGAGTACCTGGAGCTTGAGGATTGTACGAATTTTTCACCCGAACGGGAATATCACCCTCCCGAGCTGGTCGCATTGATTGTGGATGCAGGACCTACAAAGAAAAGAAAAGAAAAGGAAAAGGGTGAACCAAAAGGGGACCAAGGTGGTGATCAGCCAACAACTTATACACATCGGATAATCAAACAATAGAAAGTAATAAATTTCATGACTAATATACACCAATTGAAGCCTTCGTTGTCCATTAATTCTCATCTATGTAAAAGCCCATTAATTCTTATCTATGTAAAAGCCTCTGAAAAGAGCAAATTACAGTATGAGGAATGGTTGGAGTAGAATTAAGTATTACCTGAGCACCAAAATAAGCAAGTTCAGCTGCCTCGTCAAAAGTCAAAAAGGGAACAGGTTCTGCACCTTTATGTATGTTAGGGTCACATGTCAAAACACCATCAACATCTTTCCAGACCTGCAAGGCACAAACTTAATTTAATATCTATAACTTTGAAAAGAAAGGAAAAAAAAATAGAAGCATCTAAACGAATGATAAAAATTTAACTCAAAACAAGAAACTGCATTTCCAAAATTTATTTAAGAATATGCTGCAACCTGAATCTCTCGCAATCCAAGTGCTTTGCCTAGGGTAGTAGCAGTCAGGTCACTACCACCCCTTCCCAACGTAGTCACTGCACATGATCTCCAGCCCTTAAATTGAAGAAGAAAAACGATTGCATAAAAAAAAATTCTAGAAAAGAACAAGTCTCATGATTGCATTATCTTCAAGACTATAAAAGATCCAATCCTTCAAAACATACAGACAATGAAGTAAAATGGTTCATTTAAACACCTTTCCGAGGAAACCAGTCACAATAGGAATAGCAGGATCAGAAATCCAATCACCAAGTAGCCTTTTTGCAACAGCAGGATAGGTTGCTTCCAAAATGTCAGCATTTGTGAAGTCATCTGTGGTGATGAATCCAATTTCAAATGCATCATACTGCAAGAGCAGACATTATAACAAATTGTCATCGTAAATAATGATTGATTAAAGAATACTGGAAAGCTCTTTTTTTTTTTGGAGTTCCTTTTTTTTTTTAACCTTTTAAAATAACAACAGTGACTAGTAGGAGGTATACTGAAAGACAACATCTTAATTTCTTGGATAATTTCTCCTTCAGGAAGGAGTCTGATTCTAAACGGTCAACCCATAACTGTTTGCTCTATTTAAGAATTTGTCTTCCCAGTTCTTTTCTTTTGTTTTTTTATCCTAAAATTTCAGCAAAAATTGCTTGTTTAGGCTTCATGATTGTGGCTCACTCTAACGTGCCAATTATGCACAAAAAGACCCTTACTTTTTTCCAAAGAGAAAGTGATAACTTCATTAGGTTTTGGATTACTAACGAAAAAATGATAATAAACCAATGCCTAAACTTTGGTAATCCAATACCTACTGGAAATATTTCAACTAACAGGTAAATACTTTATTTTTTCTGTTAGTTTATACCCAACACTAAAGGTTAAAAGTACATGGAAGTACTTGAACTATTTTTGAGTTATACAAAGGGCTGGACGTGTCAAATATATTCAATATTAGAAAGAACAGAAGCATACTTGACGGCTTTTGACACCAATCCTACTTAAATATGCAGCAAAAATCCTTGTGGACATGCACTCCCCAAAGGAAACTAAGTAATCTCTTGTTCGAAGGGTCAATTCTTTCATCATAGCAATTCCCTTGAGAAGTTCCTCCAATTCATCAAGGTGATCTGCAACGTAATTATAAATAAATAAATTAAATAATTAATTAAGATCATAAAATTATTGCTGTAACATCTAAAAGTATAAATTTCATACTATTCACAATGTTAATGCCCATTTTATCATTTATGGTTCCAATATCCTTAGGAAACGAATCAGTAGGAACTGCAATAGACTGTTCACAAGGGAACATGCAAAGGGGATATAATTCAAGCCATTAGATGAAGATCTCCCCTTCTAACGTAAAGGTATTTTACATTATCATGCTCGCATATTCCAACATACTCCAAGGCCAGACGAATATCAAAAAAAGTACCGTTTGCAAATATTTAAACAAGGCAGACCAATCGGGAAATACTACCGAGCTAAACTTAACACTTAGAAAACTTCATCACTATCACTTCAACAGGAAAATTCTAGATACCGCTGTGCTGATGGGCCTCTGATTATGAAGGTGAATATACATGTAAGCCAGTAAGGAGGGGTGTGGGTATGGGAGAATGATTGCATGTGAAAATTGTGTGGAGCCCAAGTATCTTGTTAGTTAAACTGGGCAGTAGGGAGAACGAGTATATAGTTAGTCATTAGATTGTAGGACAACAAAACAACTACATGCTAGATTAGAAAGCTCCAGATAAACCACAATCTGTGCATCTTAATTCAAGGTGCTTTTGAAAACTCCCAACAAGCATAAAAGCAAGTTGAACAACTACTTCGACATTATATAAATATTGATTTTTCTTTCAGATGCAGAGAACTGCTAGCTGATGCTCTGAATGCATATTAACTCAATAACTTCTCAATAAGATCCTCAGTAGATTCAATATTTACATACCAAGAATATGAAAGAAGAAATAATCTGCCCATTCCCATGCTCAACATTAAGTTGTTTATGTCATTTTTCTTGCCTATATCTAACTGGAAAAGAAAATAGAATATTCCTAGTTCCTAAGGACTATTGCCTTTGTATTTTTCAATACTCTCTACTTTCTCACATGGGTCCCCACCAACCTAAAATTTTTTCTAATTTCTGAGAATAACCGACAGAATCGATAAAAAGTGTCAAGCGGGAGGAAAAAAAGATAGGCAGCAAGAATATGAACTATTTAACTAACAGGCTTCAGGCTCGAAAGAGAGCTTACTTGCAACAATAGACCTGTCTACACCAAGCTCATCTGCAGTCCTATAAACATGACAACGCCCTGTGAGGACGATATAGGAGATTATTCAGAAGGGGATTAAATAACTCAAATTTCTTACTTCAGATGCAAATATCTTATGAATTGCAACTCCTCAAGATCTGATGCATTATTAACGCCACAGCTAACAGCCTTTTCTCCAGCCTATAAATTAGCAGAGAGTTCCTATCAACCCTGAAGGATATGTATTGAACGAAAATACTTCCTTCTTCAAAAAGCAAAAAAGAGGAGAGAAATTGGGTAATAAACTGCGTACCAGCAAAAGTTTGTTGGTTGTCTTTCCCATGGCCGAGAGAACAATCACTGGCCGCTCTTCAGGGAAACTGCGTATAAGTTCAGCAACTTCCCTCATTCTCTCTGCAGAAGCCACTGATGAGCCACCGAACTTCATGACACATGTAAACTGTTGCTCAGTTTCACCAGAACTTCTAAACTCACTCACTTTTCTATCAATTACATCTGCAAGCCTCCCCTCGCATCTGACTGTCGAACGCACACGTCTACAGGATAATCGTTTGCCATTTGTGTACAATCCAGCACTTTGCGCAATAGATGACACAAAATGAAGCTGCTGAGATGATAAAGGTCGGCAACGCAGTGTTCTACTCGAAGAGGCAGAGCAAATAGTTACGCCTCCAAGAAGATTCAAAGCGCCTTCCATTAGTTATTTCGACGAATAATGCAACCACGATAATTGAATCCAAATATCCGAAAACCTTGAATAAAACTCTTATTCGATTCAAATGCTTCAAAACTGCCGCTCGATCTACACAATCCACAAAAGAAAACAGTCAGTTCGAAAAACGTCTGCAACCACAAAACTCAACCAGAATCCATTAACAGCCACTTCAACTCTCATTTCGCCTCCATTCTCAATACGAACTCAGTAAATAAACGAAATAAATGCATACCAATATGGAAACAAAAGAACTCAATAATTTCTCAATAACACCAAACAAATCACTCCATTTTCCTTCAGAACAACAAAAAACCTCCATGCTTAATGCTCAAACACCAAAGATTAAGAACTGTACCTCAAAGACCGAGCTCCAAAGATTGAGTTGCGGAAATTCTTCCGATAAACAGAAACCAAAATTTAAAACTGCAGAATGAAGGAGCTTCTCGTATTCCCTCAGAAAAAATGCTCGGAGCTATCCAGTTCAAGGCACCGAAATCTGAAGGGAATGCGAGAACGCACAACCAGGAAGAATCAAGAGAAAAACGACACAGGAGCCAGTGGGCGGCGTCCCGTTACAATGTGAAGAATCAGTGTGTTTGTTCTTCGGGATGGAGCAGACCCATTGATTAGCTTAAAAAGCCTAAAAAGGTAATTGGTCAGTCAAAAAGTGAACCTAAATATAATTAAATTTATGTGTGTCTTAATAGTATTATTCCAATATTTTATAATTCAAAAATTTAAAATTACAATTTTTTATTTTCTCACTAAAATTTTAAATTAAAAAAAAAATCCATTAATAACTTAAAAAAAAATATCAACCCAAAATTTTATGATTTGGGTTCAATAATATGTGTTGGACGGGTTTTTGGGTTATACGAGCACCTCCATGAAGGTAAGTAATGTTAGAGAGCGGCTTTGAAACGGTCGAGATTATTTTTCTAAATTCACTTTGTCACATCTAAACTCACTCCCGTCTCGAAATTAACGTGTTCATGTCAAAAAAACACTTCACAAAAATCACTATTTTTAAAAAATATTACCGAACATGTTATTTCCGAGTATAACTCAATTCGTTAAGGTATACATATTCTAACCGATCTAAAAATTCAAATTTTGACACTCACGAACAATTGAGCTAAAAAATTATTAAAATAATATTTTAAACCTTAGTTATTGTTCGACGATATGCTCGTTTATTATTAAATATGTCGATAATATTTTTATTGACATATATAAAAAATAAAAATAAAAAATCCATAAATTGAACTATGAACATTTATTTCGTATGGTTATGAGCCACTCATTGGTAAAGAGGAGAGCGACTTGTGTTTTTGTTGGTAGCAGAAAATAATTGTTATAATTAAATTTGTTTAAATATTATTTTCTTAATATTTTTATTTATTTTAATTGTCGATTTTATTTTCTCCACTAATATAATAAGTTAATTAATTTTTTTTTATCGTACCAAAAAAAATGTTCGAAATTTACAAAAAGGTTTAAAAAGTCATTTTTATTCGTTAAAAATATATCCACTAAAATAAACGTTGCTATATTATTATTATTATTATTATTATTTATTTCCTTTTTCTTATTTTTAAAATTATTTTTATCATATAATCATTTTGTCTTCTCTCTAATTTTTTTTTTCATTTATTTATATAATTAATTTTAGTCTCTTTTCGTCCTTTTATTTTTCGTATTTTTCAGGTAGATAATTTCGTTTATGTCAGGTATAATTTTTTTTTAATGATTTTTATTTTTTGGTTAATAATTTATCATAGTAAATTATAATATAATCTCATTTAAAATAATATATGATATTTAATTTTTGAAATATAACACGGGTACAATTTTGTTAAAATCATTTACTTAAAAATAATTATTAAAATGGTAGGTTGTTTATAATATACTTATTAAAGAATTTAAAATAAATAAATAATTATTTTTTTCTAATAAATTTACTTTTTAAAAACAAACTAATTAACGATAATTAAGTGTTGGAAATAAATTAATACAATAAAATTGTTAGAAGCAATTATTTATTATTTATTTATATTAATTTTTTAAAATTGAAAATTAGGTGAGTGAACTAAATTTAAGATTATTATAAATATTAAAAAAATTAATGTTTGTAACTAATGTTAGTGATGTGTTGTGGCTCGTGAATATTATTAATGTAACATGTATTATGAATAAGTATAATAGTTTTAAAATAATATTGTAAAACAAAATAATAATAACCTTATAACCTAATTTAACTCAACCAAACGATAGGGTCAAGTTGCTTTCTAAATTCTAGGATTGTTGGAGTCACGGATCCAACAAATTTTAGAATTTTTCCAACCCAACCAGAAAATAGAAGGTCAAGTTGGGTTGTATACTAAATTGGAATTGCTCAGTCACTTATTCAACTAACTCAATTTTGAGCTAGACGGTTAGTTTTCTCTGACCAAAATCAACTGTGTACAAGTTGAGTAACACGCTCTAACTAGCTAATTAAAATAAATATTATGAGTTTATAAATAAAAAATATCATTACGAGTCATTTTGGAGAAAAAAAATAATAAAACTACGAAAATTTAAACTCAAACGGGATAATTCTATTCTTGTGCATCTTACCTAAAATCCACGGACTATTTTATTTATTTATTTATTATTATTTTTTTTTAGATTGGAAAATGGACGGTGGATATGGGTCCTGTCACGAAACGAAAATGACAGGACTGGGTAGAATAGGATTTGAGGACAGTGGCATGATTTGTAATTTATGTGAACAATTTGGGTAATTTATCAAAACATTGCCTGTCGTTTTCGGCCACAACAAAACGTTTGTTTTGCGGTCTGGTTGCCTCCAAAAAAAGAATATATTTCTTTTATTCTAAAAATAAATAAATAAATAAATTAATTAATTAATTAAAGTTGATGGAAATAGTTTGTGATATATTGATAATATATATTAATCCAAATTAATATACTTATTTAAATATTCATTAATTAGTAGGAAAATTGAAGATATGTAAAGAGATTTTAGAATCTTTTATTTAATATTTTTAATATATATAAACAATGGTAAAAAAGAAAAAGGAATGACAAAAAGAAAAGTAAAAAATTCTTTTTTAAGCTTGTTTAAATAATATAAAATAAAATATATTATATCTTAAAATAGAAAATAAGTCATATTTGGAAAATTCCAAAAGTCTCTCATTTTTTTTCTCTAAATTATTTTTAATTAATCTCTTCATTTTTTAAATAATTTTCCCAAACTTTTAACATCTTTATATATATATATATATATATATATATATATATATATATTTCCAAACTATGTTTTCTCTCTTTTATTTATTAAAAATAATTTTTATGTTATAAATTTCTCATTTAAACGTAATTTTAAATATAGAAAAAATGATTTTAACCATTTTAAAATTATTTAATATTTTAATATTTTATTTTATACTATATTACAATTAAAATTTCATTTTTTATATGCTTGCTTAAATTTCATTATTCTATTTTTTAAAAAATAGTTATAGAAACATTTTATTTTATTCCAAAAAACATTTTCCCCAAATTATTCAATGAATGTGTAAATTTAAATGACTTTTATTTATTTATTTATTTATTTATTTATATTCACCTTTATAACTGAATATATATATATATTTTTTTAATAAAGTTAATAAACAAACCATTCATTAAAAGAAAAGTCAAAAGATTCATTAATATTTGACCATAGAAGTTTTTGTCAAAAGGTCAAAGAATAAAAGAATATTATTTTAGATAAAAATAAAATAATAATCGACCACAAAAAATTTTTAATTTTAATAATAATTATTAGCTTAAATTATTCTTTTATTTACGTGAATATTTATGGATATTGATATTTGATTGATATCGGTCTCGACCTCAATATTTCAGGCAAAGGACAACCTAAGGCTTCGTCTCTAAGTATTATTTTATAATTTTTTGTTATCTATCCACAAATCTTTTTCTTTTTCCTTTTTATTTTATCTTCGAGCTGAAAACGACATGAGAAGGAATAATATTTCAAATATGTTTTATGAAATTTTTTATTAGATAAAAAAAATAAAAGTTTGAAAGCGAGCGCGTTCTTATCAGATAGCTTTATGATAGAACTCTGTATTTATCTGATATGTTATCAAAATCCATAATGCGTTTGTAAATTCTGTATAGGTTCCATTTTGAGATCGGACATCGAAAAGAATGAAAATACCCTTGTAATTTGATACCATAATCGACATTTAAATTTATTGTAATAGATTTTGTGGACAATTTATGGTGGATTATGAAATAAATATTCAAGATCATCGAGATTAAACAAAAACAATTTGTAATTTAAATTTAGCTGTCGTTTAAGCATGTTAAAATTAATCGATAAAATAATATGGAAGATGTCATCGGTGTAGTTTGTATTTTAATTCATGCAATTTTTATAAATATTTCAAACTTTATAATTTATGAACATTGCTTCCATTTATGATATATTTTTTTTTTTTTTACTTTAGAAATATTTTCAAGATTAAAATAAAAAATTTAAAATAAATAGAATTTATAAACCCTTTTTAATAATAATTTTATTATTATTATTATTTTTAAATGAAACTTATAAATGCTATAATAAATAGTATTTTCACATTTAACTTTATTGATTTTCTACGCACTTCAATTAAAAAATAAAAAAAAAAAAAAAAAAAAAAAAAAAAAAAAAAAAAAAAAAAAAAAAAAAAAAAAAAACAAGAACAAGATTTTGAAAATTTTAAAAATATATATTTTATTTTTGAAATTTGGATTAAAATTCAAAATAAGGAATAAACAAGAATAATTAAAAAAAAACGAGAAACAAAAAATAAAATGGGTATCAAACCATTTTCAATCAAAATAAAATATCCTTAAAATTTAAAATAAAAATAAAATCTTTCGTTTTAAATTGAAACAATTAATACTTTATTTCATAAAAAAAAAAATTGATTAATATGCTTAAAAATTTTTAAAAACTTCAAAAAAAAAAAAAATCATTTTTTTTTCTTAAGTAAAAAACACTAATACCCTTAAATCACATTATAGTAGACATAAGCATCTCTTAGCTGGTTAAAGTACATGGCATCTACCGATAGGTCAAACAAAAAAGTGTTGGATGATAAAAGTTCCACATTGGCTAATTTAGGGAATGATATAGGTTTATAATCAAAGAATACTATCTCCATTGGTCGGAGACCTTTTGGGGAAACCCAAAGCAAAGTCATGAGAGCTTATGCTCAAAGTAAACAATATCATACCATTGTGGAGAGTTCTGTTCGTCTAACATGGTATTAGAGTCGTGCCTTAAACTTAGTCGTGTCAATAAATTGGTAAATCCTCAAATGTGGAACAAAAGACTTCCAAAAAAAAGGAGTCGAGCCTCAATTAAGTTCACGTGTATTGTTTACAGGACTGAACTACTCAAGGAACTGCCTTCTCTCATGATGAACATGAGGCACTGGCATACAACGAAGGTTAACCTCTCAAATTATTTATATTTCTTTTTAATTTTTCCCGTTCAGTAGCAAACTGAAAGGTTAACCTGAATTCCCAAATAAAAGGAAAACAAAAGGAAAACAAAACTAAAACGCAGACCAGAGGCCATGAACTTCAAAGTATTAAGCATCAAAAAGAAATTTGCGGTTGAGCAGCTCCTCACCCAAATCAATGATAAAGGTCCGGATTTCCATAGGAGAAAGTTCCACCACTAACCTTTTAGGATCTACAGGCCCTCCTCTCTTAACTTCAACTTCATTTGAACCATTTTCTACCTTCCAGACCTTGCGTTTCTTCTCCATATCTGTTCTCTTTTGGTTAGCAGACAAGTTCATTTCTGTTACCTTCTTGATCTGAAATGAATGGGGAAAGCCATAAGATGTTATAGAAGAAGCTAAATGATTAGCAAACTAGTTAAGAATCTGTTGCTTATACCTCCTTTCCTGGAAATAGCTTCTTTAGTTCTACTCTAGAAATCACTGAATATTCCTTTTCCTCTCCAGCCTTTTCCATTTTGATAAGCCAACAAAGCAAATTAGTAATTGGGATAAACAACAGCGAACATTCATTGTTTAATGATGATTGAAACATATAGCAGATTTTCTCAAACATTACATCTCAGATTAACAGATGAATAAAACTATGAAGGGGCAGTCCCAACATGCTTGCTCTTAAAAGTAGCATAGATATTTTGGACAATTTCAACAAATGAACCCCAACATAACAATGTGGATAAAAAGGTTTTACCACTGGCCTAAGTCGATGGAGAAGTTGGCAGAAGAATTATTTCTCTGTTTTTTCCCTAGCCCGTTCTTTCTAAAATTTCATTCAGACGTCAATTGAATATACTCAAGTTCATAAATAAAGCACAAATATTTACATGTCATTCTAAAGCAAGATTATAATTAAGTAATCAAGCAAAACTTCACTCAACCCTAAACCCTAAACCCTAAGCATTTATGGATCAAGTAAATTTGATTGGATTTCGGGCTCTAGAAAAGGATAAAGTCTTATGTTATGTTTCCCTCTACGGTTTTCTTTAGTTTTCCGCTTTTTCACTTCCTTGTCGAGTTTGCATTTTTTGAGCATTAGCTTCTTTCATTACATCAATCACAAGTTTTGTTTCTTGTTTAACAAGGAAAAAAAAAAAAAAACTCAAACAAAACTTATAGCCAGTATTAGACCAAGAGAAAGTGAAACTACTTCCTGAGAATGGATAGATTAGCACCTCGTATAAATGAGCCAATCGAAGTAGAATGTTTCCATCGTGGATTTCCTGTTTAAAATTAGAGCAGTGATTATTAAAAATAATAATAATAATAAAGCACAAGAAACTGAAGATATGTTATGAAGAAGGGTTTGAAGAATTCACTTGTTCTCATAAAAAAATAATAATACAAAAAAATAAAAGATGGGTGGTGCAGCAGTCTACAGGTTGAGAAGGGAGCAAACCAATAAAAAAAAAATCATAATTACCTGTAAAGTTATAACAGCAACATTTTTGGGTAAACTGTATGATGAATCAATTCCAGAGAAAGTAACTTTATGAGATTTTGCCCAATTATCTCCATCCTGCAGGTTAATTACTTTCTAAGGTTAATATAATCATATTATAACTTCTCCTTTTCCCTTCCTCCAATATTCACCTGTTCAGCAAAGGCTAGAAGAAGTGGAGAATAGATCTCCTGACCAAACGAACGACGCCATTTTGCACCTTCTCCTAATGGATCAATTCTGTAATATAGTTTTCCTTGAATCTGTACAGCATAATGTAAGAAGTGAGTACTAAAAGTGGTACAGAACAGCAAAGCAGAGAGGAAGAACAAAGGAAAAATGAATAAAAGAGGAAGATAACAGACAGAGATTGTGGTTAATGTGAGAAAAAGAACAATTATATTAGTTAGTTTTGATATACCTAATTAATATGATCAGGTTGTTAATTTTGGTTCATTTGTTTCATAAATTTATTAATGTTACTTGCTTCCACTAAATCGATCAGAGAGATGGTCTTCTCGGCAATTTCAATAAGCCCTCCACAAGCATCGCCAAACTATCATGGTCCCAGCGGTCGTGAGGAAATTATTTTACCTTAATCCAACCCCATAAGAATTACACAATAGAGATTTGGCTTGGTGGGCAGAGGAAAGGGCCACAGCTAGGTTACAATCAGCAATCAGGGCATGTTTGTAAGAGGCACGTGGGACAGCCGAGAACACTGGTTTGGTGGGGATAATGAAAGGTGGAGGAGGAGGGATTTTTGGTTGGTAGATGGCATTTGGTGTGTGTTTAATGGATGCCTTTCTAGTTAGAGGTCGGGCATGTTTGGATAGCTGTACCGTTTTTAATGGAGGAGCAGATGCGTAGTTAGATAAAAGCTTATAAAGGCTTCCCAACCCTTTCTCTCTTCACTAACAGGAGCAAAAAATTCGTTGAGACCATCATTGTTGATAATAGTAATTTCAGCTAAGGTACCCTTATTGTTGGTTATTTTTGCCACTCAAATGGTTTGTTTGGCAAAACGTTCCTCCTCAAAGAACTTATGGTTCAGCGATGCAGAAAGCAATGCTTGAAAGGCCTACCAAACATTTAAAGGTTTCTCAATGCAAGGATATGAAGAATGCCCTGTCTTGAGTAATTTCCAATATCCTAACTCTGCTTCCTCTATATCTACTGTCAATTCATATCGAGTAATTCTTCCCTTCAATGGTGGTTGAGATCTTCTCAAGTGTAGGTGTCGTCACCATCGTCGATGGGGAGTGTACGGGGATGGTGAGAGGTCAGGCTTGGCTTTTGGTGAGGTGGAAAGGAGTGGGAGGGTGGAGCCAAGAAAGGAGAGAGAGGATCATCCTGTTTTGTGCATCCGATCAATTAATGTCACCTCTAGGTCCATATATTTTTAAGAGTTAGGTGCGACTACTTACTATTAGTCCTCTGCATTCATTATTAACACAAACTGTTTCATTTAAAGCCTCTGCAACACCTCTTGAATCATCTAGTAATAGCCTCCTACAAGTAAAAAGAACATAAATTAGGTCCGACAAATATATTTTGCATAAAGAAAAATTTCCCAGTGTCAATCAGCTATGTGGTGAGTTGTAATTATATCAATCAAGTAAACTATCAAATTGCTTAGGCAAATCTCCAGCAGTTCATAGCATGAATATTAGAAGAAAAAAAGAACTGTACTTTTTTAAAAAAAATATAATTATGCACCTGTGAAGCATCAACTCCAACTGCCCATCAACTAGGCTGGACCCCCCAAGCGCACGATCTACCAAAACTGAAAATTCTTTCTTATCGTCTTGCGTATAGATCCCAAGATTTATCTGAAAGGACAATTCACTTAATTAAACAACAATACAGTGCAAATTTAATGTGAGAATAAGGAGAAACAAGGATAAGATCAGAAGCCATATTCATCTACAAGCATGAAATTCACAGATATTCTGTCAGCAATTACCTTATCTGGCTCATATACACCTTCATTTTTTTTTAAGTTAAATTACATATTTGGTCCCTTGATTTGGAAAAAGAACTTTGTCTCATGGTTTTAAAAGTTCAAATTTTGTCATAAAAATTTGATAGAACCTCATAAATAGTCTTTATGGTTTAATAAAATCCTTATAAATAGCTTTTATCGCTTTGCCCAACTCCTACACTTACCATGAATGACAAACCATCACATAGCTGCTAAAACAAGTTAAGCTTCACATGACTACCAAAAGACTCTCTCATGGTCGAAGGATTCACAACATGATGGAGAGTTTTTAGATCCAATCCTAAAATGCACATTCTCAACGAGTTCCAAAGTGATCCTCATTCTCACCATTGTTTTCATTAGTGTCAAAAGAAAGAGGTGAAAGAATCTCGATAGTACGAAGGGAAAGCAGAATCGTATCTAGAAATGGTTCTTTAGATCGATCACAGATTCTTGGCCCTGTCATTTGGTTTCTACTTCAATTGACCTCTCTTGTTCTCCTCCTCCTATACAAAACAGGGTGGAGAGCTCATGTAAACTTCTATTTGTAGATCCTCATCCAGGAAGACATTTGAAACCTTTAATTGGAGAAAGGCCAATCTCGATTCGTTGCATTTTGGCTATGAGGTGGTGTACATAGAGGCTTTCTCATAATTGAGACCATATATTTGAGTCAAGCATTTGGCTACTAGTTATACGGACTTTTTCTTCTTTTCTCCCATAGTGCTTCCTTTCACTCAGTCTAATATCCAATTAGTAGAGATCGAGTATTTAGGAGGGTTTTGTCAAGAACTAATTCTAACATCTAAAATCACAAGAATTACATTCGTTTTTCAAAACCATAGGACCAAATTTATAATCAACCTTTTTTTAGTACAGTCTAACAGATTGAAGAAGGATTCAGAGAGAAAACACTCATTGCTATTCTATTCATTGGAGTCATATAATAGCATCTGATGTACGAGTCCTATAGGATAGAGTGGTTTTAGCAAATAATGCTATAAAATGGATATTGTTACAGAAGAAAATGCTCCAAAAAGGCCACGGGAATAAAAGCACTTACAGGATAATAATTTCCCGCAACAGGCTGGTTCACTTCAAGGTTCCAGTCTGCTCTATAGTCACGAATCTGCAAGAATGAATGATTAAATGATATCAAAATCAAGTAATCAGAGGTTCATATCAACTCAATCAAGGAAATCATCACTCTCCAGACAACTCCATATCAACTCAATCAAGGAGCACCAAGTAATTACAATGCGGGTAAAAATTCTTATATTGCGGTTACGTCAATTCTAAAAGTGCTATAAAGTGAAAAGGAAATAAGCTGACATCATACCCTTTTGATAAAATCTCTGCCGTTGGAATCTGTATAAAATGTTTTGTTGGTTTTCATAGCAGTAGTAATTTGAGTGGCTACCTCTTTGCCAATTCCATCATCAATAGGTATAGGCCCAACCTAAAAGGCACACATATAGTTAGCAGCGGTATTAGATGCTGAAATTTACTAACATGAAGGGTGTTTGTTTGGGCAGTTGGGGGACACTTCAGAAATAGGATGCAGGATGAAAACAAATACAAAGAAGTATGTGCATATATGAATATAGTTGAATTGATCATGAAAAATACAAAGCAGTAATTAGATTGATGAGTTCAAATGAAACCAAAAACTCTTTTTTTTTTTTTTCTTGGTTCAGTTAAGACATTTAGCTAAGATAACATTGACATTCAATTATTAACACATTAGATTTTATTAGTTAATAGGAATAAATAACAATACAGTAAATTTTCTAAATTATTAATAAAATAAATATATTTATCATTATGTTACTCATGATAATATCTATTTCCTACATTATGAATACTTTTGTAAAGTTCATACAATTACTATTGTACTTAATTAAATTTGATTAGATAATTAATTTGTGATACTCTACTTTAATTGAATTAACTAGTTTAAACAATAATTAAATAATATGAATACATTTTTTTGTGGATATTAATAAATGTTTCAAATAAGATTGAATTGTAATTTTAAGCCATAATTATTGCCGAATAGACTATGCACATATGTTTAGTCAATGTCCCTCCTTTCAATCTGTAGTGTTGGAACAGCATATGCAGAATAAATTAGGCACTCTGTCATGCACTCTTATCTTTTGCATTTGCTACGTTGCGTGCTTGCTCAAAATAAGAGTACAAGAGATAGTGCAGTAAGCTTACAGTAAATTCAACTTCAACGTGGTCTTTTTCCTTTTGAAGTCTGGTTACCTGCAAATGTCAAAGTAGCAATAACTCAAAATATTAATCACCGTGTGTGTAAAACATTATATGATGACTTCCGCTCCAAAGCTTCAATTTAACAACGAGAGTGACCCAAGAGAATTTTCATTTGTCAATATTACCTGATATATCATGAACATGGATTATTAAATAAGAAAAGGAAAAACAGAAACAAGATCATTTATTTATTATTATCATGAACATGGACAACTAATATTCACCACTAATATAAAGAATATTACCTGATATATCCAGGGATTTATCTGTTGATGTACTTCTTCCACCAAATGACCTCGCATAACTGTCAAGGGAACCTGAAAATTTGAAGAAAAGATTTTTCTTTCATGAGAATTATAACTGTTGTTAAATCCCATATTTTCAGGGATAAAATATACCTGTTTAGTGGGTGCTATGGGAAATGTCCCGTTTGGACGGAAAATATAGGCCCCAGCGTTCTGAAAATTTAATTGTTAACAACTAGTATTTACAAAATTCATATGGGGTAACCAATACCAATTTTCAAGTTAGAATCCAAATAACTGAAATAAAACAATAAACACTTCCAAATAACACAGTCTACCTGCGGAGCTTTGTCACGACTGCCATCATATCCTGAATAGTAGCTGTATGATTGCTCAACCAATTCATCAACCTTCAATGATTAAAAGTAGTATTTCAGCTACAAAAACCCGCCGGTTCTTCCTTTCTTTCTTCTCTTTTTTTCAAGAAGAGGGGTGAAAATGAAGAACAGTTCACTGTCTTTGCATAATATTAGTATACAAAATAAACTTCAATAGTAGACAAAATAACACTTGGGCTTTTCTTTAATGAAGATAACAAGAATTTTTATCAAGCTTCTGGTGCAAGCAATTCAGGGGCAGCAGTTCAAGGAGAAAGTTAAAACCTCTTTGGTCCAAAACGGTAGCTGTGTTTCAATAGAGAATTTGGCCAAAGAGAAATGGCATACTTTATAGAATATGTATAGAAATTTTAGACAATTTAGTGGATGTTCTTATTCGTTTAGCATCTGGATGATGTTACATTGTCTACTTGATTCCATTAGAAGTTGACTGGAAGAGTTTTCTGGTCATTTGTCAGCCTTGCAGTAGGATCAAAGAGTTGTCTTGTTAGATTTATTGAGGTGCACACAAGTTGGCTAAAGCACTAACAAACTTTAGAAAAAAGAAAGCAAGAAAGAAAAACTCCTCTCTTATTATGGGTTTTTGTTTCCAACCAAAAACACCTGCTATTTGGTCACATTTCATGGCTAAAAATAGAGAACTCAAGATTTAAGAACTTCTGCATTAAATAATAGTAACAGTTTAATGTTGGTTAGATTACATACTTTACTCTTGCTGTTGCCGTAAACAATTTTTCCTTGATCCACAGAAAATTTAAGCTGCAGGTTTCCATTACCGACTTGAAAAGTGGGTAGTTCAGCACTCGGAAATGTATGGATTGAAGATTTTATTGACTTAACGCCTGCACCAAAAGAATGATGACGACATGAGTTCCAATCATGTTCCAACTTCCATATTCAATTTAGTTCAAACATGAAACAACCCTATATAAACCAACCTGCCCTACTGGAAGTTGAGATAATATATGTGCTGAAGCCAAATGGTGGAACTGAAACTGGAAACGCAAGCCAAAATTTTGGAGTTGCAGTAGGGATGCTACCAAAGTAGGCCTTTACATGATAAATTCTCAAGTGCATGCTTGCATCAGTAAGAGGAAGGAGCTGTGACTCGATTACTTTCCCTTCGGAATCTTTAACTGCAACATCTTCGCTGATAACCTGTATCCATTTAGAAATTGCAACCAAAAACAATTGAGAATGTGCCAATAAATTGGTGATGATATATTATATGGAAAAGTAACTGGAAGGTGCAAACGCCGGCCAAGGAGCAGGAACAGGTCTTGTAGAATAAAGGGCTACAATGTCATAAAGAAAGTATTCACATTCAAGGCATTATGGGAGAGAAATAAGTAAATTCCAGAAAGTTTGAAGTTTATAAGATATGGATAAAACATTTTAAGATAAAGAAAATATTGAACATATTTAGAAAAGTTCAAGATCATTATTCCATAATGTACCCTGCATGAAGAAACCTTAAACTCATGAAAACGTATAATAACATGAAGAAACTATTCAAAAAGAGAGATGTATCATCATTCAAGAACATGTTCCAAAGATAAAGTCCCACACATATTTGTGTCGTGACAGATGGTGACATTTGGAGAAAACATCACGTATCATCTTCAGTAATCCATAATTCATCCACTACTTCACGATTAAAGAATGGATCATAAATACGTCCAATAAACTATCATGTAAACATACTACATGCATGTAGTGCAGAAATTCAGCCATTACTTCTGTGCTATGTATGCACTTGCCTGGTCCACAAATATATCCAAAACACAAGAAGAAAAAATAATGGATTATGACAAACATATAAAAAAAGAACTTTGGGTGAGGTGTGATCCCATGTTAGATTTCACACCTCTCTCTAGCCTCTGTGTATAAAGTCTCTAGTAATTACCCTATAGATATTATTTCGTTTAATAGTAGCCACTTTCTAGGTTAATTGAACTCTTTTTTGGGGATTGGTTTTTTTATTCCCCTCGTCTTCTTTCATTTGATCTCAATGAAAAATCCAAGTAGGATAAAAACATATATTCAATGAAATGTGGTGGCACTCACAGGTATTCGTATGATATCCCTCCTAGTCCATCCAAGAGGATTGTAGATAACAACAACCTACATATGATGAAAAAACCACAATAATAGATTAGATTGTGCACTAAAGATCACTGAACAGAGTCTTATCTATTTAAGAGAAACTCTAGAATATGGAATTTTAAGAAGTTCCGTACCAAATCTTTTCCTTGAGATAGATCAAGTTCTGATGCAGGACAATAGCTTACATTCAGGAGGGGGCACTAGAAAGCCAGAGAAAGAAACAAGCTCAGTTAACGAGCCAAACGACTTTATCAAGGCCAATGATGTAACTTGATCGACTATACAGAGATGAACTTGAGAACAATGATAAAACTGATTTAATCTACAAACTTTTGGTAGGCTTAAGATTTAACAGTAACGCCATCAATTAACTTCCAACACAAAGACTTGAGCGAAAAGTTTTTCAAGTGTACTGATAAGTAACAAGCTGAAGGCTCATAAACAGTTAAAACCAGTTGAAAACTATTGAAGGAAAACAAATTCTCAATTTCATTTTGGGAACACACAGTCAAAATCTAGAAAGCGACCATTTTAGCTACAATTTTGAGTTTATTACTGTTCTTTTATTTGGTGTACTGCAAATTTTTTACCTTTATAACTAGGTCTTAGAGAAGAGTTCTAATCCACTCTCTATAATCTCTTTCTCACTCTCTACTGTCTCTATAGATGCCATAGTTCCTTTTTTCAATATCCTTTCTCTCTCCTTTTCATGCTCTATCATTTTCATTCCTGAACCCCACATCTAGATGCCTTCATAACTTTCCAAACGATAAAATACAACAAAATCAAGTTCCAAAGGTGCTTGCGTTCATTACCTGCTGGAACTTTGCGGTTGGGTTACCACATTCAGAATATGGAGTGGACTCCACTAAGCAAGCAAGTGCAGATGCCACTAACTTCTCTGCCTGTAGAAATACAGTTGAAAAGATTGGTCGATCAAAACTAAGCTCAAAGGTCTAAAGTATTTCTGGAACAAAGTCAATAATATACCTCCTTATAGCCTATCCACAGTCGTTTTGCATAATCATTTGCCACATGCTGCTTTTCTGTACCGGTAACTGCATCATGATGTTGAGCAATTGCTAAGGCATCAGCCAAATAATCTGTATTTGAGCCTGTGCTACTCCTTCCAATGAAAAACTCCAGTTGCCTTGCTGCCTGGTGGAACAACAGAACATTATAGTCACAACTGATGTTAAACCCAATGTTTTGTAGTAAATGTAACTGCAGAGTTACATCGCAGATACCAGATAATAACCACTCATCATTCTGACAAAGTACTTAATGGATGGCCTACTTGTGAAATATCCGGTCCAGTAAGCATTTACTCGATCTGCATAGCTGATACAGAAAATCTTCAACTTTAAGAGAAAATTGAATTTGAGAAAATAGATTATCCATACTTAACTTCAATCAAACTTACGGAAAAAAGTCATCAGTCTTGACTGGCCAGGAACTATTTGTAGCAAATTTTGCAGATGTGTAAACAGATGGAGTAGAGTACAAAGCATTTACACGTCCATCCTGGAATTGTACAGTGAAATCAGCAATAGAAAAGCTAAAAATAGTCAAAATTGATGTACCCAAAGCACTTACACACTCATCGTGGAATCACACAAATATGAAATCAGTATGAAAAATCATATAAAAAGTTGTGTGTGTGTGTGTGTGTGTGTGTGTGTGTTGTAGTCCCAAAATAATCCCCGTTATCTCATCATCAGCTTTGATGTCAACAATTGCGACAATCCTCATAAACAAGCTTTAATTCATTTCCATTTCCAAAATATCATGGAAGGAAGAAGAATATAAAAGAGAGGGATCTGTAAGGCATCACTCAGAAAGGCTGAAAGAGTTTACACCAAGAGTTTATATCTTGGTGTAAACTATCTAATATTTTTATTTCCCGTAGTTATACCTCCCTCATTGCAAATTGGGAAGGTCTTTTGTAAACACCATTGATATTACATCCCTTTTGTAAGTAAATTTCAATCATCAATGAAATTGTCTCTTATAAAAAAATAAATAAATAAATAAACTTCAACACAATACACCAATCTAAAAATATATCATGTTTATTTTCTCCTCCCTAGCACCATCCTCTTCATCTCCTAATAGGCCCTTACGTTTCAAGTTTAAAGTAAGGGATGCCCTATAATATAAAATTGCAACTTACAATAGCAAAAAATCTAACACAGATTTTTCAGTACAAGTCATAATACCTTGTTCACGTAGTGAATGAGCTTGTCCAACTGCCTGAACCAGGTGTGTGCATATTGATATTTGAAATCTGTTCCCATTGTCCACATTATATGATTTGTTCGAGTTATGTTTGCCTGAGCCCAAAATGGTCAACATCAATTAATATGACCTCGTTAAACAAAAAGGAAAAAAAGCTTCTTGTTTGCATGTGCCCTCAGACAAACAAATCCTTTAAGGTGTACTCAAGTTAGAGAAAGTAAGACAAATTGATTCTACTGCTTGTCTTATGAACACCAAAATTTATATAATTCACGTTTAGAAGTGGCACAGCAAAACAAGACAGCAGGAGTCAAAGATCATCAACAAACCATGGATCTCACCCTGGGTGCCAGTGCACAAAAAAGAGAGCCTTTCAACTATATAATCCAACATGCAACAAATGAGTAATCATATATGATGACTTTTGAATCGTATTAAAATTTCAACGTGGGATACAACTCTTCCTGTCAACTTCTAACTCCACTATACTTTAGCATCGTTCAAACACCATTGTTGAGCAGATATTGAGGAAAAAAAAAGTTGATTCAATCATCTTCTGATCGACACATATCCATCAAAATTGATTGCAAATGTGAAGTGGAACTCCCTCGTAGTTAAACCTCAAGATGACATTACAGAATGTCTCTGTCGAACATGTGTGTTTGTGTGTTTTTAGTTATTTATTTATTCTTATACTAGTTTTTATTATTATTTGTCTGCCTAATTCTTTCATGGAATTTATTTTTCTAATTTAAGCAAATAAAACTTTGTTCAAAGAATACAATGTGGAATACATACATGGTTAATTTGCACGTGAGAAAGTATACAATTCAAAGCTACTCTGATAATGCATTGCAAGTTATAGTAGAATACAAGTAGTTCAAAAATATTAAAAAGGAAAAAAGTAGGGAGAACATAAAAAACGAAATTACCACATTGGTGCTAGTATTTTTAAATTCTTGAAATCACTATAAAAAAATTGAGATTCAATTACAATTTACAACATTATATACTTTCTTTCCTTTGAAAAAAAAAATTAAAAAACCAACTTCAAATCAAAGTACAAAGAAAGAATGCCTCAAAAAGCACCTCAACTCTTGCTAACATTAGCATATACTGATGATCTACTATGATATATTTGTAAATATGAGCATATTACGTGAAAGAGTGCACACTTAATAATTGAGATTCAACAATCAACACATTTTAAAAGAGAATATTACATTATTAATTAATGAAAAATTAACAATCAACGTGTACTGAAGGGGGAAATTACGTCATTACAACAATATTTTAGGGAAAAAATGTTAAATCTTCTTTCAACCGCAATCATTACTTTTAATCCAAATATCTACAACAATTGGAATAGTGTAACATGCATGATTATAGATAGTTTCCCAAAATACGCAAAGAAAAACTGAGAAGATATGAAAAGGATAACTTTTCACAGTCCATGTTACCTAATATACAAAATTGACTTTAATTGGTTACCTGCGCTACTGCAGCAGCAACAAAGTCATTCACTCGATCTTGAACATTGTAATCAAACAAGTTAATATCATCCTTCATATCAGAGATGGAATTAGTGTCGCAATTATTAACTTTTATAATAAATATATAATTTACCGAATACGTAAATTAAGGGGAATAAAAAAAAAGATTACTTGAACTATTGGGGAAGCATCATTAACTTCAAAGTAGAAACCAGAAGGAGGTTCATAGTTTTCAGGGAAAGCACCAGCAAAAATCTGTGAAAATCAAAAAGGTAATCACAAATATGAAGTAACCAGAATCCTTCAAACATATTTTAAAGAAAATAAAACAATTAAAAGATCATATCATGAATAATTGTAAATTCTCATCATATTTGTACAGTTTGAGACTAGAAGACAAAAAAGTAACATTTATCTACTTATACACTGACTGCTCGCATAATGTTACCTGAGCAGATGAACCAAGGGATTTAGAACCCTGCCAAACAACTTCAAGACTCTTCTCAATTTTACGCTTGGCTCTGTCTTGATAATCTATCCGGCCGAAAAAGAGTGAATCAAATCCAACCTACAGTGACACCAACTTTTCAATACTGCATACAGAATTTTTTCCACATTGAAGCTCCCCTTCAAAATGTGGTTCTATATGTACTGTGATTTAAATTTTCTCTGTTGCCTCAAAAAGGATTTCTTGATATAATAAAGTGCAGCTTACTTCTGCACCCAATAGGTAAGCCTGCACAGCAGAATGGCCAAAGGGATCAATTTGCCAGCCAACTGTAGGAGTAACGCCAAATTCCTCCTTTATAAATCTATGCCCAAGGGTTGTTTGATCAATCATATCAATGTAGTGTGTTGCTGCCTCATCATGCATACACATGCCCCCATTTCTACATCGGGAAAATTACGTAAGTCAAACCGAAATGATAATATCGAATATTTACATTGAAAGGAAGAAGAAAATATCAACAAGCTCATGAGCTTCAAACATGGACATAAAAAGCAATAGTTATACATGAATTCTAATTGACCCGAGCCAACTAGTTTCTTGACTACATCCTGTACAATCTCACTCTGATCTCTCCACCATCTTTGGAAAAATGCCTGATTAAACAAAAAAACAAGTAAAAGTGTAAATATTAGCAAGCAGAAGATGGAATATATTAAAAAAAATAAACCATACTCTTAAAAATTTCCCTAAAGAAGAAACTTGATTTATCAAGAATTTTAGAAAAAAAAAACGTCCAATTAACTGCCACTTCGCCTGTCTGTGATAATAACGGCCATGTATTTGACTTGTGACATAAGATATGATTAGAGAAGGTACACAAATACCTAGCACTCCCAAGTCCCAACGCCTATTGGCAGGCAATCATGCACTTCAGCGATCCACTCAAATCTATAGAGATATGCTTCTTGAATTTCCCAGACATTGTAATAAATAAATAAAAAAATATTGCTTTTGATACCTTTATGATGCTCATTCGATACATCCACTGTGGTTATTTCATATCCTCCTTTTTCTTTTCGTATTATTATGCTTACTATACTTGCTGCTGTAGCATTATAAACATTGTTATTACTCTTACTCTCATCGGGATAAATCTGACCTCTTCCCCTGTTCCCACCTATATGGGATATTTTAAGAAGTTGACATCTTTCTTAGTTGCAAGGTCCAGGGAAAGAATAGGAAATGTGATTTCACTATACTTCTGACCAGGAACAGATTTCATCACAAGAATAATTTTTTTAGTGGGACGATAGCTCTTAAAAGACATGTCAACTCAGGGAAGAAATAAAAGATTAACAAGTTTCTTGTCCCTTTTTGTAACAGTCCAAGCCCACCGCTAGCAGATATTGTTCTCTCTGAACTTTCCCTTTCAGGCTTCCCTCAAGGTTTTTAAAATGTGTCTATTAGGGTAAGGTTTCCACACCCTTACAAAGAATGTTTCGTTCTCCTCCCAACTGATGTGGGATCTCACACCTTCTATACCTTGTTTTCTCTTTTTCCCATATTTTTTTATGTGCTAATCCAAATAACCCTTATAATCTGTAATTTTCCTATCTGCATATAACATTGAAACTCATCCTGTAGCAACAGTAATCAAGGAATAGACAAGCAAGAAGGGGGAAATCCCACCAAATTATGTGTCAGTTTTCAACATCTGAAGAGCTAGAAAAAAAAAATGTCTCGACAACATCCCTTTTCTTTCCTATTGTTGTTCCTTTCCAATGTCATGGATTATTTCCTCGTAACCCCAAAAATTATTACGCAGATACTGATTTGCAGAACTAAAACAAAGGAACAACGTGCCTGCTCAACATATATAAATTTTCGATTCTTGTCAGCCAGTAGAGCTGAAACCACAGAATCCAATACATTCTGCACGCAAGCTCCCTGCGTTGAAAAAAAGGGGGCGGGGGGTCAAATTTCAAAAAACCAATTTCACGATCATTTCAAACGAATAGTCAGAAAAGAAATAAACCTGGATGGAGTTGTTCGACCCAACATAGTACTGATCAACCGTCTTCAACCATCCAACATCGTCATGAGTATGCGCAACCAAGTGAACATTAAGCTTCCCAGGAACAACAGTCTGCGAAGTATTATACACCATGAACTTCGATTCAACGCCAAAAAGCACCGATAGAAGGATCGCACAGAAAAACATCCCTAGCCTCGTCGCCATTGAGAATCAAACTGAATAAAATGAAGATTTCAAGCCCAAAGCGAACAGTAAGAAGATCTAACAACAATTGTTCTCAGTTAAATAGAGAAAACAGCTGCAATGGAGCTCGATTTCATCGCAAACACCGGCATTTTCACAGCACTTATCACTTCGAAATCGAGTGATGCAGGTAAAAATGGCGGAAGTTGAGTGGAGCTTGCTTGGAGTAGAGGTTCAGTCTGTCTCTCTGATGATTTCAATGGAGAGAGGACCGCACACATGATAGAGACTTGGTAAAATATAACAAACAAAGTGTAATCCATTTTAAAATTTTCGTTAGCACTTTAAATTTTAAAGTGACACGTCATCTTTATCATTATTTTATTTTGTCATTATCCATTTGAGAAAAAAAAAAACATTTAAGATAATATTATATATAGGTCTTTGATATTTATTTAGGCTCGGTCGGATTATAGGGGGGCTTTCTTCTAACTAAAATCGAGACTAGAGTTTATATGAGAGAATTACATCTTCAAACGGTTTCTCGTTTAAAATCCTAACGTTTAGTCTACAATCATAGTCGAGACTGAAACAGGACTAGCCCTCATAGTTTGTATCCCTTGACCGACCTTTACGGGTCAACCTCTCGAGCCCTTAGTTGACCACGTGGGGTCAATTTGGGCATATATGTTTTTATTATTGGTGGGTTCTCAGCCAGATTAACCGTTCACCCACGATAATTGTCCATGCTCTCTAAGTCAGATCTTTATAGTTTAACGACTGTTCACCCACGATAATTGTCCATACTCTCTAAGTCAGATCTTTATAGTTTAACGACGTATTCTTTTCCTAATTACATATTTAGTTTTACCTCGTGAATTCATCTATGGTCAAAATTTATGTCGTTTATTGGAATCAACACTCAGCCTGTACCAGTTCGTTAGTGCTAGGTTTTTCTGTCAAGGTGCTAGGTGTCACAATCTGCAATATGATTGTGACTCGAGTAAGTCATCGAGGACGATGACTAAGTTAAGTGGAGGAGAATGTCACAACCATAGTATGAAGAGAGTAGGTTGTGACCCTCACGCCATGACAAGTAAAGGGGCGTCCCACAAGAGACGCCTCATCCGGCCATATGCGGGCCAACATAGAAGAATGCCATGATGCGATCGAGGAGGACGATGCATCATCCAACACACCACCACGCAAAGTGGGTATTGAAGATATATGTTGAGACATAAGCATAACAGAGACATCAGCATAGACATGAAGGACAAGATAGGCTTGTTGAAGGGCCAGGTAGGGCCTCGGGCCTTAACCTCAAAAGTCGAGGTTTCGGAAGGAATTTGGACATGCAGTTCGGGAGTTAAGTTCGTCCATATGAAATATGAATGCTCGCCAAGTTTGGTGTCAATCGGACATTGGACGGACAATGCACGACATCGTATGACACCTCACCAAAATCATGTCTACACCTGGTATAATGAAAATGGCTCAAAATGTACTATATGGGGTACCATGGTGTTAGCTCTCCACCACCCCTGGGCCCTGTGGCCTAAGTGAGCTACCCTGTGGCACATACGTGTGTCACAGTGTGGGCGAGCGTGTCGAGACGAGTGTCTCGGGCGACTTCCTTTGAAATGGGTATTTGAAGGACAGTACCGGACGGCACGGGTGTGCCGGTATTGCGCCCTAGCCCGCGTGTTGGTGGTTGCTACATACACCCGCTATCCAGGACGGTATCCGTAAATGACTCGGCATGGGCACGGGAGGGCCTATGCCTCGATAGAACCCAGATGGATGGATGTTCGGGAAGTCCCGATGAGATGAACAACACGCGGGCCTATTCTCGATGGCATGACCAAATGAGTTATGATGGCCGACGACATCCCGAGACTTGGGATGGCGCCAAGACATATGGACCCTATCGATGGGGATCGAGATGACAAGATGAGATGCGACGTTATATTGGGAGACCTTGGCCCGAGTAGAGGCCAGGTCGAGCCGAATGAGTTGGTCTAGCGTAAAGGAAAGTCGAATGTGTCGCAGATGATTGAACATACACGCACAGGCGACATATGTGGTTGAACAAGCTTGGATTCCGCACAAGCGATGTTCGATTGGCGAAGACAAACCTCGCTTAAGGTCCGACAAAGCCACAAAGCTGGGGCGAAAAATACATATGGGGCTTAATTCCCCTTAAGGCTAGTCGTGATCATGTGTAGATCACGACGCCGCACGGTCAAGAAGGTAGGACCGTGACACTAGGCACCACTCAGGCTCTAGGTTATAAGGTCATTGTTGATTATTATTTAAAAATATGATTAAATTAAACATAAATTTATATGTGCATATATATATATATATATATATATATAATTATAAAAATAAAAAAAACAAATGTGTATATTTACGTTAAAGGATATTTTCATTGATTAAATTACTGTATAGATAACTAATATTAATATAATAAATATAAAGATAAAAATTTGAAATTTTCGAATTAAAAAAATGTATTAATGTATTGGGCTTTGTTAAAGCTTAGGAAAGCCCAAAAACTAGCCCAATGGGCTTGATGGGTCATTCCTAGGCGGAAACCTATAACATAAAAATACATGGGACACATTGTATTTGGTTAAATATTATTACTCGAGGAAAAATTACAAACCAAACCCATATGCCCGACTCGGGAGTGGAGAATCAACGTTAATGGTCGAACAAGTATCGATCTAGACTCGAGATAATTTTTTACTTCAACCGTGAAAAGAGTGTCAAAAAGTCTAAACTCTATAAACTTAGCTTAACTCTATTGGATAATGAAAGTCCCATATTGGCTAATTTAGATAATGATTATGGATTTATAATAAAAAAAATACTCTTTCTATTGGAACGAGGCATTTTGGAAGCCCAAAGCAAAAAATGAGAGTTTATGCTCAAAGTGAACAATATCATACCATGAGGTAACTAACATGGTATTACTAAGACTCCAAAGGAGTCGAGCCTCGATCAAGGGAGACGTATATCATACCATGAGGTAACTAACATGGTATTACTAAGACTCTAAAGGAGTCGAACTCCAAAGAAGTCGAGCCTCGATTAAGGGAGACGTATATCATACCATGAGGTAACTAACATGGTATTACTAAGACTCTAACGAGTCGAGCCTCGATTAAGGGAGGCGTATATCATACCATGAGGTAACTAACATGGTATTACTAAGACTCCAAAGGAGTCGAGGCTCGATTAAGGGAGGCGTATATCATACCATGAGGTAACTAACATGGTATTACTAAGACTCCAAAGGAGTCGAGGCTCGATTAAGGGAGACGTATATCATACCATGAGGTAACTAACATAGTATTACTAAGACTCCAAAGGAGTCTAGCCTCAATTAAGGGAGTCGTGTTTAACTAACAAACTCATACTTTGACTCGATCTCAAACCTTAAATGTTTTTTTAATTATTATTATTAATAATAATTTGTTTAAACATTTTTATTTAAATTTTGAAATCTAGCTTGATTCTTAAAAATTTAGGGAAAAAAGGGTATTTATTTATTTATTATTAAAAATAAGGCAAGGTCAAATTTCTTCTGCAAATTGGGGAAAATAAAGCCGGTTCTGTCGCCTCCACTCCAATACTCCATATCCCTCGAAGCGCTTCTTCCCAATTCATTTTTCGCCGCGGAAGGCTTCGATTGTTTCCCGTCGAAGATGCTGAGGGTTGCGGCTCGTAGGCTCTCTTCACTCTCTTCTTCCCATTTCAGGCCCTCTATTGCCCCTTCCTTGCCCGGTTCTCACAAGATCGTTGATGGCGGTGATTCTGCCCCATCCAATGATTTCAGATCCGTCAGCTCTTTCAACACCTTCGCTTTTGGATCCAACTTTGCTCCTAATTGTCGAGGTTACATTTTGCTCCCCTGTTCTCTGAAATACTTTTGTTCTCTCTGCGCCTAGTTGATTTATGGCGTTTTTTAGGGTTTGTTTTGGTGGAGATGTGATGTCTTTTGTTGAAATTTGTTTTTGGGAAGGGAAATCCTTATTTAGTATTCGACCTGTAGTTTTGTTGCGATAACCGTGTTTAGCTGTAGATGGGGATTGATAATGGTCTTTACCGATCTACTGTTTAGTTGCATTCATGATGATGAATCATGTTTTGTATACTCATTTTTTCATTGTGAAAATAATTTAAAATTTTGAGGCTTGTTTACAGGATATATGTTGGGGCATATCACTTAGTCGAATCAATCACTTCCTCTTGGTGTTCATGTTTGAATCTTCCACTGTTGCTTTTCAAAGTTTTGAACTTGTTTTTATCATCAGGTTTGCATATTTGTTTCTCATTCTGGAAATATTGTGAAAATGTGAAATGTTATCTAAAAACCGTATTTTCGCAGCAATTCGATGATATCTCTTTGTTGAATCATCCCCTTTTCGTTTATTTTATAATCTTTTCACCGTTGCTCTACAAATTCTACGAAACTTTCAACATATTTTTTTTTTGTAAATATTTTTTATTCTTTCTTTCATTTTTCTTTCATTGAAAAGTGTGATTTTAGCCCATTCGAGTGCATAAGTTTAAGTGTGAGTTTTCTTTTTTCCTTTTCCGTAATGGAGGTTAAAACAAATTAGTTTAAGGTTTTCTGTATTATCTGTGCCGATAAAGTTCAGAGCATTCGTCCATTTTAAGCACTCACCCAATCTTGATTAACGGATGATATGCAACATTGTAGAGGGAGTATAGTAATTATTTCAAAAGAACATTCAGTGCACTAATTCATTTTTAATAAACGGATGTTATACGGGCTGCAGTGATTGGGGTGTATTGTTATTGGAAGAATGGATTTGTTATTTACGAACTTTTAGCAGTTGTCTTTTTTTTTTTTTTTTTTTTTTTTTTTTTTTTTTTTTTTTTTTTTTTTGTT